GGCCAGCCCAGCGGGTTTGCTCTTGTGCAGCAAAGCAACCAGGCGGAGCTGCCTTGGGCCGGTAGTTTGTGTTGCGTTTATACGCAAGGCCAGCACCCCCAGGTTTGCTCTCATGCAGTGAAGCACCCAGGTGGAGCTGCCTTGGGCCGGTAGGTTGCATTGTGTTTATCCGCAAGGCCAGCACCAGCAGTTTTTTTCTCGCTCGCATGCAGTGAAGCACCCAGGCGGCATTGCCTTGGTCGCTAGGTTGTGTTGCATTTATCCAGAAGGACAGCACCCACAGGTTTTTTGCTCTCGTGCAGTGAAGCACCCAGGTGGAGCTGCCTTGGGCTGGCAGGTTGCATTGTGTTTATCCGCAAGGCCAGCACCAGCAGTATTTGCTCTCGTGCAGTGAAGCACCCAGGTGGTGTTGCATTGGGTCGCTAGGTAGGGTTGCGTTTATCCATAAGGCCAGCCCCAGTGGATTGCCCTCATGCAGCAGCCGGAGTTGCACTAGGCTGGTAGTTTGCATTCAGTTTATCCACTAGGCCAGCCCCAGCGGATTGCTCTCATGCAGTGTGTAAGAGGGATCAGCTCCCCTGGCATCTCCCAACTGAGTACTCTTTGCCTGGTGTTACATTGGTGCGAATTGCTAGGAGATGGGATCTCCCCGTATCGAATCCGATTGCGAGCATATCGCACACCAGGCATGATGCAGCATACTTTTCCCCAAAGGTGAATGCCTGGGCGGGTCAGAATTCTACCAGCTGAGTAAAAAACCAAAGTCCTCCAACTCGGTCGGGGAACAGTCAATAACATTCAAATACACAATCCTACGGGATCTCAAACAACCAAATTCCTACGGGATATGCCCGGGGGCGCCTGAGGACGTTCACTCGACGGGGGGAGGAATGTAAGAGGGATCAGCTCCCCAGGCATCTCATCCAGTCACCCAACATCCGAGACAGATCTGCCACCACCACCATCTCAGCATGCGATACTTAGTCCATCAACTAGACCTCATCTCCACACCGCAGCGTTAGTAAACCTAGACCTCCCGAACAAAGTCGGAGGTCTGACCAGGAATCGAACCCGGAACCATCATGTACACGAAGGCGCCACCAGACCAGAATCAGTATTTGCTTATGGGCCTTCTGGTGGGTTTCCCAGAACTTTCGCCAATTGGGGAGTCTAATGGCAAATTCCCCTGTGGTTGCGGGTTCTGAGCCTGCCCTTGGATTTGCTTTTGGCTGTCTAGGTGACTTGGGTTGTCTGGTCTGGGTGGGAGTCTTGTTTGCCCTTATCGTATCAGGTGCAGTGCACGGCCTGCTGGCCTGCTGGCTGTACTCTTTGTGAGTCTGGAGCCCACTGTAACAACCACACTGCCTCGAGGCATCCCTGGCCCAGGCAGTGAACTGATAGGAACTAGCCTAGTCCGCACAAGTTTCGCACAAGTGTGGGGTGTCCGTAAAAGCTGGGGGGTCCATGGGCGATAAATCGTGTTTAGGGCGGTTACATGGTGGACCATCATCGTCCACCCTCATCTGCCCGAGCATGAAGCGCCTTAGAGCAACGTGCCGGGTCTCCCAGACTTCCGAGAGGAACCTGGCTACTGCCAGGGGTGGGGCCTCGGTCATAATCGTGCACATGTTGCACCCTTTAAACGCGAGGTCACATTTATACTTAGCCCGTGTACTAGTGTATGCCGGGCATTCCACAAAGACATGCATTTTGTCTTCAACCGGCCCCCAGTCACAAAGCCACCAGGTGCACACTGTGCGCTCATGGCCGTTAGGTCGGTTAATCTCTAACTCCCAACAGCCTAACCGGAAACATATAAGCATTTGACGCAAACATTGGGGCATGGAGATTTCAGGTGATCATTATGGATTTCAGCACGAACAATGAACCCTGCCCACTCCCCCGTGCCCCTTGCGGGCAAGCAACGGATAATCGGGTGAGAGACCGAGCTTTCTATTAGGGCCTGGTGCCTAAATAGGAAGGGGTAGGGTCTGTACAGGGTTTCTGGGTTTCCTCGGTCTTCTTGAACCCTCACCCCAAGAGCCAGTCTTCTTGTGTGTTCCAGGCTCAGTGCTCAAACTCGCGTGACGGAGCCATGACCCCCCGGGGAGGAGAGCGGAACTAGTGGACCTGCGGCTCTCGGCTGCCTAGGAGGGGACAGAGGCCCCTTACGCCCCTCTCTTGTCTGCGGGAGGAGCTTAGGTGGTCTTTCCGTTGGGGCTGGGCAGCAGTCCCTGGCCAGTGTCAGGCATGGTCAAATACTTGCAACACATGCACTGTAGCAAGCTACATTTACCTTAGAATATCTTTAAGCTATTAAAGCTTAATCACAGTAACGGTACGGTCCCGTAGTTACGAACCATACTCGTTAACTGTACGAACTCACTTTCTGTTACGCTATCACAACCTAGCGTACGACACCAAGACTCCAGGAACGGAGATGGCGGCAGGTGGGCCGCATTTAAGCCACCCAGGTGAAGTGCTTCGGCCAGACACTTATCGTATCACTATACCAGTGTTCGGATGTTCGAGACTCCGCTGTCACCGTTCTCGACGTATGTCTTCGAATTCCGACTTCCCTTGTCTCTTCTCGCGCCTAACGACACACAAACACACACACACACACACACACACACACACACACACACACACACACATGCGCAGTAATGTGACAGCTCATGCTCGTTACAACGTCGACTCCCTCTTCCCGTCCTAGCTTGCTAATTCAGGTTATGCGCCCTTCTCTTTAATGTCAATAAATTAGCAACCGATGAAAATGTCTTTTAAGGCATGTAAAAGATGTATATCCAGGATGGACCATCCACTGGCGTACGGTGATGGCATTAAAATTGGCCGTCCGCGTACCAAAAGCATGTCGCTGATTGGGTGGGTGGTCTAAACGTAACTGATTATGGATGGTCTAAACGTAAAATAGGCTGTCGCCGGCTGCTCTTTCCATCGGGCTATCGCAACCGGGTAGTAACTGTACGGCATCAACGTATCTCAGATGGTCAAAAGAACTTATTAGTGTTTCAGGCAAGGCGGCCCACGCTCCTCCACTCGATCCCTCGCAGCGCAGTTCAGGAGAAACACCACGGGCCCTTGCACGTTCTCACAAACACACACGCACACGCACACATGCACAAACACACACACAAATACAGACGTACAGACATACTCGCTCCACGCATGCCAATCATTGGGACAGTGCTTTCGTCGTAACATCAACACACGCGACAACCCCGAAGCTAGACAGCACGAGTTAGGCCCCACGCAGATCAGCAGCTTGCACAGTTGTGCATGGATGCAAGGATGCATGCAGATACATATGCTGCATGCAGATCTGCTCCTTTCTTCCAGACAACCGCACAAACGCACCAGCACCTGTTGCGATGTGCCTGTCTGGCGTTTTCATCTTCTAAAAGACCAGCCCACAAACACCCTTGCACCCACCATTTTACCAATTTAACCCCGCATATCCATATAACCCTAAAACCCTAAAATCCCAGCTAAATGCCACCATGCCGTATAAGTCTTAACTTACGAAAACCTCCGCCGATAATTACAACCCATCCATCACCATGCCGTACAAGCAACCAAAATTGTTACTGGTCGTACACTGCGTTAGGCATCCCCTTCCTCGAGATCTTCGGGCGGCTCCGGATCGCGGTACCACAACACTGCCGTACTGGCGGCACGCAGCGTCGCGACCACCGACGGCGGCACTTGTTTCGCCAGCGGTGCAGCCGGCAGGGCCATTAGGTCGATGGCATTTTCCTTCACAGCGGCCGCCAGGGCACGGTCCGCGGGCCCATCGAGTATGCACGTCTTGGCAGGTCGCATGCCATATGCTGCCAGAGAGAGAACAGATATTTGAGCGGTATGGGTAAATGCATGGATGCCGGCGTTCGTTACATTTAGTTAGATGAATTGGATTCCATCGATCTGTATAATGTTAATCAAAATTCTTAATGAAAAGGGAAAGAGCCATACGATACGGTGTATGTTCATGTATACGTAAATGCGTGTAGCTATCTATGTATGTATGTGTGTGTGTGTGATGGGGTGAAACGGGTGAGACGGAAGTCAGCCGGTCATTCAAGTTGCTGGTTTTTGCAAAGGAAAACACCTGAGGGTTTTCTGGTTGCCAAGCAACTCGCCATTTCTTTTTTCCGGTAGGAGTGATGTACCCCACAAACGCAACAGTACGAATGTACTGCACACATGTACGGCATAACACTACATACATCATAAGCACGAAAGCGAAACAAGCACACACACATGGGCCGCGTACCTGACGCCTGATGCGCGTGCTTGCTCAGGAGCGCCTTTATGCCGCCGACCTGTTGTTGAGTTAAGTTGGCAGTTGGCTTGACGTACGTGAAGTACAACTGATCTCCAGCCCGTTGGTTGCACAACCGACCAGCTAGGTAATCTATCATGGTACCCGCGTTGCCCTCCAGTACGGCCATGACGTGAAGCTCTCGGCGCCGACCGCCTTTCGACGATGATGACGTGGCGGCAGCTGCGGCAGCCGCTGCCGCGGATTGACGCGTCACGAGCAACAGCGGCATGGGCAGCCGGCGCAGCATCGCCAATGTGACGCTGCCTATAATGTGGATGAGTGTGGCGGTGCTGGAGGTGGCGGAGGTGGAGTAGGGGCTGCTAGTGGCGAAGGACGTGGTAGTAGCCTGTGAGGTAATGGAGTTGGAGCCCAAGATGACTAGCGCAGTGGCGTTGCGTTTGGCGTAATCCACCATGCAGTCTATGAGGCTCAAGGCATTTCGTTCCTGCGGGCGGCCGGCAACGTATTCTCAGCCATGGTTGTGAAGTCATGAGACAATTCAAGGTCTTGTAAATATGGAATAAGTCCTTGTTTAGAGTTCGTGCTATTACGCGTGCGAGCGACTTGGTCATGTGCATTTCCGTTATTTTAAAATGTTGCTAATATTGTTGTTATTATTATTGTTAAACCATTTAAAATATATTTAGTTTCTAGATGTGCTTACTACAATCTCGCAGATGTACTTGGCTGGGGAGAGTTTGCAAAACTCGTCGCCGTGCTTGGTCAGAAGATCTTCGCCTCGCTGTCTGCTCTGTTGGGCATCTACCGAAACGACCGTGGCTATGATAACCCTGTCTCGGGCCGGCTGAGCGATGGCAGCTGCCATTTCCACTGCGGCCATCGAAACCTGCGACATTCAATGTTCGACAAGTAAAACCAGGTGTGAAAAGTGAAGCAAATGCTTTATTTAATCAATGTTCGAGCATCCTCATGCATCCTTAATTGGTTGTGAAATGCCGTTATTTTTCGGAGTGCGCATGCAGACGAGTATATATGTTTGAGGCGTTTTGAGGCGAGCGGAAACGTACATAGCGTACATGCACACCTGCGAATGTTTGTATGCTTATAATTGAACTTATTTATTTCCAGTGATTCATATCCTTCCACCAAGTCCAGTGATGCCCAAGCTCACCTCATTCGCCGCAACAAACACCAATATGGTTTGCGCCTTAGGGTCTGCCGGTACGGACAACACGCTCGCCAAACCCATTCCACTGCGGCGGGCGGCTCCGGCCCCCGGCCCGGCCCCGAGCAACGACGTCGACGCCAAGGCCACCGAAGTCTTCCGTCGGCACCCGTCCACCCGACAAGACTGTACCATCTGGCGAAAGTAGTTATTGTTGTCCTGCGCCTGTACGACAAGTTAAAAAAATCCGTTGAAGGGAGCGAAGCAAAGGGCCTGCTGCAGCAGGAGATCTGTTGATACCCTTGAAGGGAATGGCCCGGCCACGGGATGCATGGAGCATGTACTGTAGGAGCAGGATAACACCCCACACCCGAAGCCACGATGTCACGCCATATGACGTGCTAACAGACATAAGACTGGCTGTGGGTAATGAATATACAATAGGAGCTCTCCTCAAAGCTCCGGCTTGACTTGGCTGACTTACTCCAGCTTACTTAACTTGATGAGCGCGATCGCGGTAGACGAGGACGGGCTGGGAACGGATCCCTGTCGAGCCTAGAGGTATAAGCACTAAGGGCGGACCTTATGAAATGCTGTGTACATATTCTCTGTCAATCCTGCTCTGATGCGCGTCTCGAGGTCGGGTAGGATCACAGTCTTGTTACACCAAAACAGGCCTATCAACCCTCCTATGATTATATTATCCTTAATAATCAATGGTCTATCCGCTCACGAAGAGTTGCTTCGAGAGCCAAACGACAAATGTTTGGCCTCTTCGCACTCGCATTTATGGCGAAGTATCGACTGATCCACGCCGGGCCTTATCACACGAGGCACTGGATGGGGCTGCCCTTTTCGGGAGCCGCAGCCGTCATGTGGCCAACACATGCTAAGGTTTTCATTCCTCGTTTAGCACATCGTAAGCTAATGCAGTTTCGTTTATGTTGCTGGGCTTTGGAGGCGAACAGAGCACGAAGGGGCAAGTACCATGTTCCCAGGGGGCAGCGGTTTTGCCACTGTTGTGGTCCTAATAGCCGAATTGAGGATGAAAAACACGTGTTATTGGAATGCCCAGCCTATAATGATATTCGTGCTGAAGAGGGATTCGATCATCAACAGAGTATGTTGGAGGCCATGCAATGGGAACCCGCACGCCTGGCGAGGATGTTGGAACGTATGTGGGCTCACCGAAACTCAATTACCCCCTTTGGACGCTAGTCTGGGCTGATGTGCGGTTTTTTTTTTCCTTTTCTCCGTGGCTTTTAGGCGTTGTAGTATTGCCCTTGGGCCTTCGGCTCGTATGGGTAGTCTTACAGGTATGGGGTCACGCACCCCCAACCATGTAACACACACACACACGAGGCCCTATCCTGGATACGTAAACGCTCATCCGACTAACGACAGATGAACGACAACCTAACATCCTCAAATCACAACGGAAAGCGCCTTATACGCTAGTCAGGCAACACCCAAAGTCTCAATTAAATCAATACGCGGTTCGCCTTACTACCTTCGGTTGGCTTAGCCACCTGCGGATAGCGACTAACTCGGTCGTGGCACGTAATTTGTGCACTCCAGATGTTTTGGCGTGACAACGATAATTCCCCCCTCAGCAAAAACATCCCCAGCTTGAATCAAATCACAAAGTCCCCCAAACGCCCCAAACCCCAACAGTAAAACCTACTAGATGCACTCCAACATTACCTGGAGCAGCGGAAGCAGGGCTTCGACATCGTCTTGGACTAATAGCTGCGGCGTATCCGGCCGGGCCTTATGGATTTCACGACGGTGGTGACGTACAAGTAAGGCCCGGGGAGTTCATCAGGATGGGGGAGAGCCAATGATCGGGAGAGCGAAGCGGGGAACGAAGCGAGTTTGGGACCAAAAAAAATACGTGATAAAATGAATGTAAAAAAGAAATAAGCGGATCGGAGTCATATGTGGACGAGTACGAATGAAAATGCATCTGCGTCCTGACAGCTGGCCCACAAGCAAAAGCTGCTTATGGAAAGATGACAACGGGGTGTGGTGATCCTGCTGAAGCAACACGGCATGTTTTTTCTTTCATGATACGGTGTCGTACAGTGTCGTACCTGCAACAGCAGTGAGCGCGCATTTGGTGCCGAGGTGAGATCAGCGAATTCCATTCGGATATGGAGGAGGTCGTCCACGAGACAAAGCTTGGGCCGAAGTACGGAGAGCCGTCCCGCGAGCATGGCTTCTCGGGGGTTTTGTTTTTTTTGGGGGGGTGGGGTAACACCAAGGGGGCGGCGTAAGGGAGGAAAAAGGGTTTAGGAGTGCACACAGGCAGAGCTGCTCTCTCTTGCCCGTTCTCGTGCCCTGGGGTAGACGCCTCAGCAACTGTTCAATTTCGTACAACTCCCAACCGAATACCAGAGATATATTGCTTCGCATCGCTGCTCTGTTTTGTCGCTGTTAACTTACGTTGGATGCTGGGCAAATGCATAACGTAGCGCCCCAGCCCAGCCAGCACCTTTCCAGTCGCCTGATAATCCGCGAGTACGGCCCTCATTGCCGGCGTCGAAAGATCTGTACTGCATAGCTCCACCGCTTGGTACGAATGCGGGGGGCTGCTGCTGCTGCTGTCATTGCCGGCAGCTGCTGCGTCCAGGCGACGGCTCATGACGAAGCTACGGCGGCAGGATGTACGCACGGGGGGCACGGAGGGCAGGGAGCTTCAGGTGCAATATAATTCTTGGAGTCATGGATAATCAGGGTATCGAAGCTCCTAAGGGAGAAGGTGTGCAGAGATGTTCGTGGTGGCAGCGCTTGCGCGTTAGCCTGGGCATTGGATGCCCCTCAAAATGCAGGAGTGTCGGGGAATCGGAATTTGCGGGTGTTGATGGCTCTTGTAAGAATGTTGCAGATGCAAGAAACCATCTACGAACTGCGAGCGGGTCGTTGGCGCGTCATGTCGGTTACCCTTGTTACCCTACCGGCCAGGTACCGAAGCGCCCAGTTAGTAACCAATCGGTTTGGTAGAGATACCAGCTGCTGGCGCCAAGCAAGGATAACCCCGAATGGTAACCCCATAAAAGCACTTGGCGGCAAATGCAGAGGAGTAGGGCTCGGAGCGCCCCATATACAAACGGGAATTCGGATTTTTAATCCGTTTGTTACTTTACTTCTGTTTTGGTGAGAAAGGAATGATTGACTGCCGTCGGGGGATGTTGGGTGTGGGGTGCTCTGCAGGTGCTGGAGAGGTGCTGGAGAGCCCGACCTTATTTAGCGTTATTAAGACTATTATGGTTTTAGGGTTTTAGGGTTTTATGATTTTATGGTTTTATGATTTTATGGTTTTTATGGTTGTTTTATCAACGAACACGTGTCATGAGGAATTATCGAGGCCGGACAAACAAGCACATTACCTGTCTAGCACTCGAGCGAGCAGCAAACTGTTGGTAAGGGCGGCCTCCATCACTATATTAGTGTACGGCGCCCTGTGGGAAAGTACGTACGGATTAGTTAGGAGGATCGCGGCTGCGAGCAGTTCAGGTCCGCAATCCAGACGAAAACTTGACAAATAGATTGGCAAATACAACCGCCTACTTATTTGTGCACTTATTGATTCTCTTAATCCGCCAAGACGGAAAATCTGACCAAGCAATCACAGGCGTCGATAATCGATTTACAAAATGCAAACTGTAGTATCCGGTAGCATATAACTACCAACCTTACTTACCGGTCTTTGTGATAGTGCAGTGCGTAAGCTAGGGCGTTGACATCCAGGACGCCTTCTTTCGCCAAAAGCCCTAGATCTCGAGAGCGCCGGCTAATCATCCAGCTGTACGAACAGGAGTACGACAAGTACGGCTTCCTTGGTACCCACATTGACGTCCATGCAATTACCAGTATTATTTATTTTTTATCTTCATACTTTATCTTTATAGTTACAAGTTACAAGTTCCGCACACAAGTGCGGGGTGTGTCCATAAAAGCCGGGGGGACCATGGGCGTAGCGTAGGAACTTTACTGAACACAGGAGAACGCAATACCGATGCGGAGGACAAAGCGAATACATCATGTAATGTAACATCTCATGCCGCAGCCTGGGATTGAACCAGGGCCCTTTTGTTTACAAGACAAACGCTCTACCACTGAGCTACAACGGCATGCTAAACTAGCATGCTAAACTAAATATTATTGATACTGTAGGGTAATGACACTACAGACACAACAGCTCCGTAGGACACACCGCGATACACACATACCCCGCACATGTCCCTCAACCTAACTTGCGGCTCCTAGCTAGGCTCTTGGGCCTTTGCTAGCTCGTGTAAGGGCTGGCTAGTTACACCCCTCTGGCTGTGTAACGCAACCGAGGTGTAATAAGTACACACATACATACACACGCACACAGAGCAGATACCCATGTGAGCAGTGTGACGGCTAGCCAGCGCTGGCAAACAAGCACCCCGATGACATACCCATGGGCAGATGCCAACCATGGAACCGCCTTGATGATACAACACACACACACACATGCACAGACATACACACACATACACACCATACTCACACTCACACTCACACTCACACTCACACTCACACTCACACTCACACTCACACTCACACTCACACTCACACTCACACTCACACTCACACTCACACTCACACTCACACTCACACTCACACTCACACTCACACTCACACTCACACTCACACTCACACTCACACTCACACTCACACTCACACTCACACTCACACTCACACTCACACTCACACTCACACTCACACTCACACTCACACTCACACTCACACTCACACTCACACTCACACTCACACTCACACTCACACTCACACTCACACTCACACTCACACTCACACTCACACTCACACTCACACTCACACTCACACTCACACTCACACTCACACTCACACTCACACTCACACTCACACTCACAACCAACCATAACCTTAACCTTAACCATAACCTTAAGGTTCCTCTCGCGAATCCTCTGTACGACGACTATTCAATCCGGAATTGAAACGCTCAAATGTTGCTTCATTCACACACACAGAGCACATCCGCCGTTTCCCTCCTGAGACTAAGTCCCCCAGGAGCTAAAGCTGCATTCCTGAGGAGCCTTCCCCCCTTGTGGCCAACTGCTGCCGGCGGCTCAGCTTATTTGATATAGATATTTGATAAATAAATTCACACGCACCGCTGACACAGACGCAGACACATAACGCAGGCACCAACCCTAAGACCCGCGATGGTCCACTTACTTGACTCCCTTGTTCTCCAACCACGTGAAGGTCGATTCACCCAGTGCCACCAGGCAGCCGTCTTCGCTGACGCCCAACGCCTCCTCCCGCCACACAAGCTGCATCAATCCGTAACCGCTGCCCAACGGCAAGCTGTGCGACGCGTCACCATAAGCCCATGTACGATTGGTTTTGTCGTACGAGTAGCCGGGATGGAAGGGCTGGACGATCACGATGACGTTCTCTCGGGGGATGCTGATGCGTGAGAGAGGTTACGTGATAAATTTATTCCGAGTATTGGATTGGTTTCGGAGCGCGAGTGGAGGAGGAAGGAGGAGAAAGGAGTATGGGGTCAAGCCGAGTTACGGGGTCAAGCAAGGAAGAAGTGATTGCATGGGGGTGTTGAGGAAGCCGGAAGGAGGAAGTGCAAGGAAGAAGTGCAAGGAAAAAGTGCATGGGCATTAAGGGAACCGGCGGCGGCGGCGGCGGAGGAGGAGGAGGAGGAGGAGGAGGAGGAGGGAAAAGGGAGGGGGGGAAGGCGGGTTCTTCGCTCCCGCGTGGGATGACAAAAGGCAAAAACTCCCTGTTCTGAATGAACAGCCGTCATCAAGCCTGCTTTACCAGACAAACCGAAATCACCATTGTGTATATAACTACCTCCTTATTGGAATATGCTCGTACTAACTAACATGGTTTTAGCCGTTACCAACTGAATAAACCTCATTATCGTGCAGTTGATTATAATTGAACAGAAATAATTGTGCACATTGTGCATAACCCAACCTTAAATCCATTATGTACGGCGTCGTACCGCTGGATCAGCCGTTACTTACCCGAAAAAACGGTATTTCCACAGCTGTCGTACCACCTCATCTTGCTGGTCTTCGTTGACCACTAGCACCAAGGGCAGCCGAGATATAGCCTCTCGTCCCGCGATGTTTTCTAGGGCCATAACCAAAGAGGCGATGTAGCGACAGCCAAGAGATAGGCCGTGCATTTTGAAGGTTCCCGAAACCACCATGCCCGGTCTGCAACGTTGCACAGAATATTCGTTTTTCAGCGGTTTTAAACGGTTTTAAACGGTTTAGGCGGTTTTAGGCGGTTTTAAACGGTTTTCTTGAGGTCTGGAATTGTTGAGCAGGTTTTATTGAAACTTTTATTCGAAAAACGTGAAACCACTTACAGTACTACAAGACTGAATCACGTAACGCCCTACGGCCGACCTGTACGTCTCCAGTAAGTCCCACGGGTCGTGCGTCCAGAGATCGGGCGCCATGCTGCGGTACAAGACACCCGGCACACTGGTCCCTGCCGTGCCGCCAGCGCCTGCCGTCGCGTCCGCCGTACCGGGCTCACCGGCGCCGTCAGCGGAACCAACGCCGCCGCTGCTGCCAGTGCCGCCCGAAACTGCGCTGAAGCCGTGCAATGGCGCCGTCGGCCCGCCGCCGCCGCCGCCGCCGCCGCCGCCGCCGCCGCCACTGCTGCTGCTGTGCCCGGCGTCAGGTATGCCGGCGCCGCCGCCGCAGCAGCAGCCAGCGCCTCGGTGCATGCCCTGTTCGAGGTAATCGTCAGCGGCGCGCATGTGTACGGCAATGGAGCCGTTGCGCAGCATCTGTACAACCTCGTTGCGGTACACTAGGGCATCGTCGGAACGGCCAAACGCCGACAGCTGTACCTGCGTCGTCACAGACGGGGCGCCCCATGCCTGTGCATCAGCCCAGTGGGCGTTACAACGGTTAAGTAACATCGACAACATCTGGCTGCAGCGCAGAAGCTCGTCCAACTTTGCCTGGCACTGCTCCCTTAGCTCCTCAATCTTCGCGAGCGTGCTCCCCCGGACTTTTGGCGGTGACGGCGACGCCGCTAACGGTTGCAATAGCTGCTGTTGCTGCTGTTGCTGCTGCTGCTGCTGCTGCTGCTGCAGCAGCGGCGGGGGGCCCAGCGGCGATGGCGACGGCGACCGCGAGAACGGCAGCGGCGATGGGGATGGCGACGGCGGCGCCGCCGCCGCCTCCGGCACCGCCGCCGTCAGCGGCACAATATCCTTGCAGAATATCGTAGCTTGACGAAGTGCGTGCATCGCTCTGTCAGTTATGTTGAGGTACATGTGGGCGGAGGGATGCAGAGCGGCGGCGGCGCCGCCGCCCATATTAGGTGACGACTGTAGCGGCTGCGGTGGCGGTAGCGGCAGAGGGATGGCTAGCGGCGACGGGCTCGGTGACGGCGGCGGCAGCGGCAGCGGCGACGGCGGCAGAGGCGACGGCGGCAGAGGCGACGGCGGCAGAGGCGACGGCGGCAGAGGTGACGGCGGCAGAGGTGACGGCGGCGGCAGCACACCTCTCGGCAGCGGACTGACGGCGCCGCCGCCGCAGCCGCCGCGGATCTGCTCCAGGAGGGGGGAAGCGCACGTGGGTGGGTGCAAATGGGTTTCCAGGTTGCTAAAGTGCTTTCCACGGAGTAAGGCGGCCACAGCAGCAATCAGTGGTCGAAATGATGCGGTGCAGGCACTAGGGGAGAAAGAACGCTGCGGCAGACTCTACTTGCCGCAAACCTCGAAGCCGGCTGCCATGGCCCTGGGCCAACCCACGAGGTTTCTCTTTTCCCCTGCTATAGCTCCCGGCGCCGAAAAACCTTGTAAAAAGCCTGTTCTTCATCACCAAAGCCCCCCAAGCGCCAAAACACCCGCGCCGAAGCTGACGCATCAACCGCTAGAGATTAAAATAACTGGTCGAGCTAGTGACTAAGGCGCTCCACTTGCGCTGTCTGCTCAAGCAGAGTGGCTTCTGCGCTATGTAAACAAAAGCGACCTACGGGCGGCGGCGTCATGCTTCGGGGAAATGCGTCTGCTGGCGGCGATAACAGCGTTGCGTTGCCGCCGCCGTCACCGCCGCCGTTCGTCATGGGCGAGTTGGGCGAGTTCAGGAGCAGTGGTCCCGGGGTTGCACATTTGGGCAGGCGGTCGATTCCTGGAGCGGGGGCCACGGAATCGGCGGCGCCGCCGCGGAGGATGCCACCGCCGCCGCCGCCGCCGCCAGCGCCGGCGGCGCCGGCGGGTACGGCACTGCCGCGGAGACTGTTAACGGGTGAGTGCCTTACGGGTGAGGTAGGGCACGAGTAGCCCAGACGTTCGTGGTCGTGATACCCGCCGCTGGCGCCGCCGCCAGCGCGGGCGGCGGAAGCGGCGTAGATGCTGCCGCCGCCGCCGCCGCCGCAGTTACCGCCGCCGCCACCGTAACCTGCGGGCATCGCCGCCGCGGAGGCAGTAGCGTTACGGAATGGAAAGACGCTGCTTGGGCACCGTTGCAGAAAGCTTGGTGGAAAGAGTGGTTGTGTGGTGAATACTCAGTTGCATACCGAACAACGTAAATTCCCTGGATACGGCAAAGCTCACCGTCGTACGACACGCGGATTCTGGAGCGTAACATACTCTCCGTCGGAGACGCCGCCGAACGAAGAAGACTGCTGCCGGCGCCGACGCCGACGCCGACGCCACAGCTAGCACCGCCGCCAATACCGCCGCTGATGCCAAGAGCTCCCATAGCGGCGGCCGCAGCAGGTGTCAAGCCGCTGATGCCGTCACTCGACCGTCGACGCAAACGTCGAGATGAGCCCAATGAAGAGAGCGAGCGGCCGACGCCCGCGGCCGCGGCAGCGGCGGAAGCGGCGGCGGCCGAATTGCCGTACGCGACCCCTTGGGTACCGCCGACGGAGCCTTCACCTCCGCCAGCGCCACAGCCGCCGTGGTACAAGGAGCCGCGGACGTGGACGTGCGCGAGGAGGGGGTCCTTCACCTCCCAGCAAGCGGCACCTTGTGGATGGGGACCTCCTGATACTGTACAGCGTACGGCGTACGGCATACGGCATACGGCATACGGCATGAAGCCCGGAAACGGCGGGCATTATGTTCTCATTTAAGAGGGCGCGAAGAACGGAGGAAGGAAACGCTAGGCGCAGCGCCAGTCCTGTGTGTAACAGAGAGCACTAGCACTTCGTGCTCTCCCGTCCCTTCAGCCCCCCCAGTGCTTCCCTTCGGACGCCGAATTCATTTTGTAACTCTTTGTCTTTCTTTGGTTGATGAATTCATTCCGCAATTATTCACTCACTCCCACCACTGCCAAGAACCCTAACCCCCCAACAACACGCAGACACATAAACACACATAAACACACATAAACACACACGCACGCGCACACACACCCATCCTCAACTATCAGCTAATCCTCTTTCTCGGTCCTGGTCCTGGTCCTGGTGGATAGCGAAGTATTTAAATGCTCCCGTTTAAACTTCTGAAGTTCTCACGACACCTTTTCCAAGCGTGCTGCCAATCCTGGGCAGCAGCCTGTCAACGCCTCTTCCATTACTGCTGCTACAGCCCTCGCCGCCGCCGTAGCTGCCGCCGCCGCTGCAGCTGCTGCCATCCACCAAGCATCTGTAGGCGGCGTCGCCGCCGCCAACTCCGCCGCCGCCGCCGCCGCCGCCGCCGGCGAGCCTAATGGGCGAGTGGCTGCGGTCCAGGAGGAAACTCGAAGGGCTCCGAAGACCCGTGGGTCCGTCGTGGGCTGAGGCAATACCAGGTCCCCCGGGGGCCGTCGCCGCCGCCGCCACGTGCGTCCATAACGGTCTGTACGACGGTGACGACAACGGTGCTGCTGGCTCCCGTGGGTCAGGTAACGGACGATATTCCTGGGGTTGCGGGCGCAAGGGGTTGAGGAGGTGGGGGAGGGGTTGAGGGGGGCCCAAACCCCGGCGGTGGGAGAGTTCTCCGATGCGAAGGTCACAAAAACAATTGCCAACACCCGCACCACCAACAGCCGCAGCGAGCCGCGGCAGGAGGGCCGATTCCCAGGAAAAAAGGAACTAATTGATCAGGTACTCTAATACATAATTATTAAATGAATAAGGTCTGGATCCTTACGTAAGCCTGTCTGTCATCGATCTACTCCTAGTACGCTGGAAAATCTCTCTCCCAAATCTCTTCACGTCTAAGTCCAACCCCAATTCCAATTCCAATTCCAATTCCAAATCCAAATCCAAATCCAAATCCAAATCCAAAAACAAATCCAAATCCAAATCCAAATCAAATCCAAATCCAAATCCAAATCCAAATCCAAATCCACATCTACACCCCTGACGATGCCAAGAAGAGAAGGGCGCTGAGGATGGTGCCCCACCCCCTCCTGGACGCAAAACAACATCTTCCTTCTCGCGGTAGACCACGTGTCCAAATGCCGCTTTCCTTCACAGTTTATAACCGCCAACCACCAACCGCCAACTGCCAACTGCCAACTGCCAACCTCCTCACATGTACTTCCGGAAGATGTGCTGTTGGGTTATTGCAGTCGCTGTTGTAGACACCACAACCACCACCACCACCGCCACCAGCAGCGCCAGGAGAATCAGCAGCAGCAGCAGCAGCAGGAGTACCCGCGTCGTCGCCGCCGCCGAGGGCGGTGGTCAAGGGAGCGCCGCCGAGGCGTGTCGAGGGCATGGGCACGCCTCCCGGGGGCCCCCTTCCTAAAAGCGCCGAGGGGAGAGGCTCAAGCTGCTTAAGTCCAGCGGCGGCAACGGCTGTGGCAGAGCCACTGTCGCCACCGCTATCGGCGCCCACGTCGATTTCGACTCCGCCGCGTCCTGTTGACGGCGACGGCGGATCCACATTGGACGATTTGGCGGCGGCGGCGGCGGCGGTGAAGTCCGCTGCCGTGGCGTCCCCGCGAACAGGGGGCAAGTCTATCAGAGCCTGCGGCCTCCGGATGCGAGCTGTGTATATGAGGAAGGGAAAGTTGGTACGGCAGGCGTACGGCGGCAGGGGGGCACGGATGCAGGAACGTTAGTGGCGTGTTGCTGTAATGGTGGGTAGATCTCCGAATGCCAAGTACGAGGGAGAAGCACAAGTGCCGTACTTCAATATCTACGGGATGTAACGAATGAAAGTAACGGACACATATTGTGAAGTACATAGGAACACGCAAATCCGTACAATCTGTACAATCCGTACAATCTGTACAATCTGTACAATCCGTATAATCTGTACAAATACGTACAATACGTACAATCCTTAACAGTCCTCACATCGACGAAGACAAACGAAGACCACCCGAGAACAACACCCTTGAACAAACGGGCTGCTTACCGACGGAAGGATTCGACAACCATGACCGTAACATGCGACATAAGGTGATGGGGAAACTCACCGCAAATGAAAAGCCCTGCGCCTTTGGGTACGGTGGCGGGGGGTGCCCATGGCAATGGCGACACAGCGAGCGGCAACGGCGACAGCGTACCAGGTGACCCCCGGGAGATTGGTGACGATAACGACCCCGGCGGCGGCGGCGGCGGCGGCGGCGGCGGCGGCGGCTAGCGCTAGGTTGCGTTTGGTTACCGCCAGCGCCTTCCGCCGGCGTGCCGATGGCGTCTGCCGCCTTGCCGCCGCCGCCACCATGCGCCGCCGCCGCAGCAGCAGCAGCAGCGGGAGCGGCAGTTCGCAACAGCCGCCGTCGAGGCGACGCGGAGTGGCGGCGCTCGGCGTCGTCCGCAACGTCGCGGCGCCCTCGACGACTCGGCGAAGCGGACGACCCCGGACGGCGCGGCGAGCTCACAGATCGTTGTACGGGCGAAGGATTCCTGTTCTCGGACTCAGTTTCGTTCTCGTTCCCTGATGCAATGTGCCCCGCGACGTGTCCGGCGTGTAAGGCGATTGTGCTTCCGATGCTGCTGTTCCGAGACATGACTACATGATCTCGAAGGCTAATGAGGCGCGACGGCGATCTGGAATGCGGCGGCGTGGGGCTGCTGCTGCTACCTCTGACCGGGGGCGAGGGCCCGCCGCTGCCGCCGCCGCTGCCGCCGCCGCCGCCACCGCCGCTGCCGCTGCCGTCACCACCACCGCCGCCGCCGCCACCTCCTCCAACGACTCGTCGTCTGAAGGTATCTCCACGAACATTTGAGGCCAGCGGCCGCTGCTGCTGTTGTTGCTGCTGTTGTTGCTGCAGTTGCTGTTGCAGCTGTTGCTGCTGTTGCTTTTTTTGCTGAGGCTTACCTGAAATCCAAGAACGAGAGCCATGCCCTGCGGGATTGGGGAATTTTCCGCCTTTGTTTCCAAGCAATTTTCCAAATTCTGGGTTCCTTGTGGTCGTGCACTCTGCCCCCCTGCCTCATCTCGTCTCTTACACCCGAATTTCCCCGGTATGCATATACTACCAACCCCCACCCCCAAACCTCCTTTCTGATCCTCAATCTGGGGCACCAATCTATATGCCCACCTCCCAGGTACAGCCCAATACGGCAATCCTGTCCACCGGCCGCTACGCGCTTCGAAAAAGACACGGATCACGGTTTGTACTGGGGTAGGTTACTGTACTTGCGCTGAGGTCGCCACCCTCAGATGCGCCCTCCGGGGCCTCACCTCGTTGTTGTGGGGAATCCGCCGCCGCCGCCGCCGCCGCCGCCGCTCCGGCCTCCTCAAGGGGCTCGTCGCCAGCCGGCTTGTTCAACAGCTGCGCCAGCAGCCTCGGCAGGTTGCTGTTCCTGTGTGCGTGTCCGAATGTGTGCATGCCGTGCGTGTGCACGTGGGGAAGGTGCTTTCCGCGTAGCTCAAAGTCAGGTGGATAGTCTCTGATTTGAAATGTGTGCGAGAAGATTACGTGTACACTGCTACAAATCAAACTAATCTATCCGTTTCCTTAACCATATCCTTAACCGTATCTTAACTGTAACCTTGTATATCTTGTAAATCTTGCTACCGCACCCTACTTACGGAGCTGCTACAAAAGCGACGGATTTGCCGGGGTCCAATCTTCCCTTCTCCCGTTCCCGGCTCTCAAGCTGTTCAGCTGCGGCGTAGACGGCGTCCTGAAGCGCAACCTGCGTTTCCAATTTCAAAGGAAAAAAATATTCACAGGTTGCCATGTTTGGGTTATGCTGGCGGCATTCGTAATCCGGGCGAGTTTATGTCGCACGTCATAAAAAATAAAAAAATAAAAGGAAATGTATAATAATAATAATAATAATAATAATATAATAATAGTAATATGTATTCCTTTAAACTAAAGAGTAAGAACCTCAAAACAGTAATTGGATTGAACTACGCTAGGATGCGTGTGTGTTCGGGAGGGGCTCGAACCCAACATCACCACCACCATTACCAATATCATCAACACCCAACAACACCCAGAACACCCCAACAACACCCCAACAACACCGCGCGCCCGCCCCTGCGCTGTGTTTCGGCCCCCGGTCAGGCGTCCCGGTGCTCGTCCTTTCCCGCCCACAGTGTAACACCTCGCCAACACCCCAACAACACCCACAACAATAACACAACACCCCGAAACAACAACAGAGAGTTGTTTTGCCGTCTGGCGGCAGGGACGGGGGGCGTAGGTGGCTTGTGGGGGTGGGGAGGGGTAGGGAGAGCGGTGGAGAGGAAGGGGGTGAAGAGGGCCCCGCCCTCCAGGGCTGGAAGGGGAGGGTTTCCTCTATAGCAGGCAGGAGCAGGCAGCGTCTGTGAGCCATGTTTCGGGCTTTTTCGGGCTTTTTAGGTGGGCGCCGCGCTGGCTTGTCATCCCCCCCGCGGCAATAGGTGTTTTGCTTTGTTCTGCGCTGGGCAGCGTCGGGGGGCCCCCGGTGGCCTTTTTTCTTTTTGTTTGTTTATCGTCCCTAGACCGTGTGAATAGGCTGGCCAGGCGCAGTGGTGAGATGGTGAGAGGTAGCTTGGTTCGGGTCCCCTAAGGTGTGTGGTGTGGCGCCTCTCGCGCAGCTCTCGCTTAGCACTGATTTGCAGTCCTCTGTGCCGTTGCCTTGCCTCGCCAGGGGCTGGGAGAGCGCCCCGGCTGGTGTGAGTGCGCGAGTAAGGGAGTGAGTGAGGCGCGCGCCGAGGAGCAGACGGACGTGGAGCCGCGCGCCCGGCCCTGCGCTGTGTTTCGGCACGGTCCGGGCCCCGACGTTGCTAATCGTCCATCCATAGCATTGTGTACACCCACCGCAGTGAAACACCCCCTCGTCATCAGCAACAGGGCGAACCACCCACAGCAGTGTAACTAACCCCGTGAACAGTCAACAGCAATGCCCCAATAACAGCAACGCCCGCAACCCACCGCGGCCTCCTCAACCTGGCTCCGAAGTGTCGCGTAACGCTGCTGCTCATCAGCAACCCGGTGCCAGTCGCTGCCTGCGCGGTGTACGGCAGGTTCCGGAGCGCGTGTGGAAAGAGAGATGGATTAGGAGCATATGGTGTCATGGTGGTGTTGTGGTTCTGTTCTCCGAAACCATGTGTGTGTCACTATTTCGGAGGACGCAAACAAAAATGTAAAATGCTACGCAGGAAGACCTTTTGGTAGGACATGAGTACCGCCCGGGACAGCAACAGCAACAACAGCAGCAACAGCAGCAGCAACAGCAGCAACAGCAGCAACAGCAGCAACAGCAGCAACAGCAGCAACAGCAGCAACAGCAGCAACAGCAGCAACAGCAGCAACAGCAGCAACAGCAGCAACAGCAGCAACAGCAGCAACAGCAGCAACAGCAGCAACAGCAGCAACAGCAGCAACAGCAGCAACAGCAGCAACAGCAGCAACAGCAGCGGCGGCAGGCGCCCTGGGAGGTCAAAGTGGGATGTGCGGCCACGATGGATTCAATAGGACCCACCAAAAAACTAAAAAATTCATATTTACACCCCCAAAGACTCCCACGGGCTCAGTTTTTACCACCCACGCCTTCCTCGTAGACACACACCGACACCTGTGTAGAGCTCCTATCCGTCGTCCCTGCCCTTTTCACAACTTGTCGGACGCGGCGCGGGAGAATCACGTGACAAAACACACAACGGCCCGTGCACACCCGCCCACACGTCCAAGGTCGCCAAGTCCAACCCACGCACCCGCCCATCCCTTTTCACCTGTACCCACCTAATGTTGAGTAGATGGCGAAGTCAAAGCGGTCCAGCCGGGGCACGGGGGCCACCTGCAGCTTCCCCCTCATCATCAACACCACCACCCGCACCACAAGGATGGTACGCCTGCGGGCCTCATGTGCTCGGATGCGCCATTCCGCGACATCGGAGGTATCTGCTCAGAGTTCGCTCTCCAGCAGAGAGAGGAGAGCGCGCATGTCGGCATGTGCATCAGCGGGGATGGGTGAAGAGATGACGGGCAACCGGTGGTTAGCCGGGTACGTGTGTGTGTATGTATGTATGTAGGTAGGTAGGTAGGCAGGGCAGAAGGACTAGGTCGCGGTGGCAGTGGCGGTAGCGGTGGGGAGCGGGATGATGGAAGGTGGAGGAGGGCAATGGCGAGAATGCGGGTTGGGCGGCTTCGTTGGGCGGCTTCGAGGACACAACAGGGATTCTGAGGGCGCGGTAGTGTGCGGTAGTGTGCGGTAGTGTGCGGTAGTGTTTACAGAGGACGCGGAGGGGGTTAAGAACGAAACGAGGGTCGATGTGATTTGCAGTTGGCAGTTGGCAGCTGGCAGCTGGCAGGGGAGTGAGTGGGTCCGCAATCCTCATAGGGTTGAGGGCAGCGGCACTTAGCGGTACGGCATTACGGCAGTAAACTGATATAACGGTATTGGCGGCCTCACCTCGCTTGATTGCGAGCACCATGCTGCACTTGGCCATGGACCTGTGAGACGGCCAAGTTCCGGGGGAAAAGGCACGGGCCTGATCAAGACATGAGCGTAAACATTTTCTTCTCCTCCTTCTTGCCCTTTTGTACGTCATAAAATGCTTTGTTTATTCCTGGCGAGGTACTTAAGTTTTACCATGATAAGCGCAATGCATCCGCGCGAAGCAGGCAGCTAGGGATGGGGAATGAGACCATGAACTCCTAACACAGCTGTGGAATCCCTTGCACGGGCAAACAGGCTCCGGAACCATTGCCGTACCCACTGCCTCACTACCTTTTTCTCGTACATTCATAACATATCCGTTCATGATGGCCATACACTTCAGTCGTCACCCGTCAACATGCACACCGCCTCCAACACACACTACCGCCGCTGCCACCATTGCCAACAAGGCCGTCGGCAAACACAAAGGTTGCCTTAATATTTGGTGAAAAAGAAGACTAACCGCTGTGGCGATGTTGGAGGCACACATTCCGCAGTGCCCCGAGGTCTCTGCAGGAACTCCGACACCCCTCGGGGTCTTGGACCGAGCACCGACACACGACTGGACCCGCCATAACAGGAAGGCCGTCCAGCCTGATGTACAGCACGCTGTGCACTAGATGGACTGGGGCTGAAGAACCTTTCCAGCTCGGACCCACGTTTAACAAGCTCATTCTGCGAGTTGCGAATGGGATGGAGATTTGCTGCATGAAAAGCAAGAGATTCGCGCATGCGCTCTGGAAGCTGGGCGGTCGCGATCAGTCGAAGGAACGGTAATATGAGGAGAAGCATCTAAGCTGTAATTTATATTTGATGTTGAATTATAAGTTTTTGCTGGGAAAGCATAACCGGGTCTTCGGGTGCGATAACTGGGCAAGTCGTCTGCAAAACAAGGCCTCGCGAACACGGACGTGACATCACCGCAAGCATTTATATGTAAATAATACGCATCAAGACGTGGTTTAAAATTTTCCATCTGCGGGCTCGATGTCTTCACTCACCTCAAGGAGTTCTAGCTTTTTCGAAAAACTCAAACCGCGTGCTATCGGCTGACGCCCAATACCTACGGCATTATTGTCACACAATTAATGCTCTATACTGCACCATATTAGGAAAGGGAATAATAGGACTCTTGCGTATAGTTGAGCCTGTTCACGTCCAACCGTGTTAAGGGCTCACCGCCGAGGCCATCCAACTGTCGAGAAGATTCACTCCGCCACAATTCCTTAACATATTCTGTCCAGTCCACATCCGTTTGCAAGAATGTAGACGGGACGTTGCCCATGATTCAACAGTCTTCGAAGCGAGGCCAATATGCTCAATTTGGTATCTATACAATTAATACAGCAATATTATTACCTTCGTCCTTCTGTTTGCAACGGTGTTAGCTAAGGTTAAATCGAGTGAAGGGACGAATACGGCACGGACGACGAGTCGTCACAGCAGGCATACGAGGCCATATGGTACTTTTTCCGCTGCAACGATAACTGTCTATACGCAAACTTATCTCAGCTACTTTCTTGTCATAAGCTTACCTTCAAAGCAGCGAGACTTGCAGCATGCAAGCGTAGCTCTTGTCATAAGCGAGGTGGGCACCATGACTACCGCTAAATCATGGCTAAATCGCCACCAACGAATCATGCAGTTATGTCTTTATCTTTTGTTTGAACAAAAAGTTCATAAACTTTCCACCAAAGAAATGCCAACCGAATGCAGTTGGCTCACATTAGGTGCATGAGCGCATGAGCCTCATCCGGCCTAAAAACAAGTCTACGATGTCGTCGTGGAGCATGACGTGTCCTTGTATGTGTGTGTGTGTGTGTGTGTGTGGTTACATGGTTGGGGGTGCGTGACCCCATACCTGTAAAACTATCCATACGAGCCGAAGGCCCAAGGGCACGTAGATGGCACTCTAAGAGCAACTGTCCAAAACACAGTTCTGTCCAAGTGGACTTTGTCCAGGGCCTTCCCTGCTCCTTTTGTTTCAACTTCCAACTAAATAAACACATCGTCGTTCCGCCGTCCGGTGGTATCGAACAGGGCGAAGGTTGAACAGGTTCAGGAACTACACGCGCACTGGCGGCACCTTTCCTAATACGCTTTGACGTCACACTGATGTACGGCAAACGCACTCATCTCAGACACATCCCCCAGCGACTCAACGACTCTGTTAAACACAAAGCATATATTTGATCTTTGGCGTTTGTCCGCGCTCGCATTGCTGTGGCTCTTAACTTTTGCGTGCGCCTCCTTTCCGCACGTGAGGGAAAAACGTAATCAGTCCTGTAGAACAAACCGCACACGGTCTCACAGCCAACTTCAGTCGGTTGAGTGTGTGCCTGACTTCCGAGATTGACAGCCTTTCCATAACAAACTATACTTGTACCTAACGGCATGACCTAAACGGCATGATCTAAAACGTCAGCACACCTATGTCACGCCCCCATGCGCAACCTTGACATCCCATCATCCCCTTCACGCATTATTCCAATATTTGTAATATTGGAGAACGCGAATATTGTGTTAATCGTGCTTCTGCGCTTGCGAACGTCTCAGTACGTGAGCGATTTCCACCGTTTTCCCGTGTTACATGCAGCGTCGGCTGCATCCACTCACATTTTCATATGGAATATGGCTTACATACACTTACATACCTCTCAAAGGCCGACTGAAACCACACTGTACACGTAGACGTCCCTTACTGCGGAAGGGACGAGGAATGCAATCGTCGTCGTTCCCCGGCTTTAGGCTCGACGAGGAATGTAACCGTCGTATCTTGGTTTTTAGAAGGGACGAGGATACTTTACCCTTGGATAGATGTGCGGTGGAACTGCTGTTGGGGTTGCCCCTTTGGACACTTCTTACTTTGTTACTTGTTACGTGCACAATGCAGTTGCGAGCTGGCAACTCCTTCACCATCCACATTTCCACGCAAGGCAGGGCGATCGAGCGACAGAGTAGTAGTGGTGGTACACTGCGAGAACCAGAGCGACGACCAGAGCGAATTCCCTTGTAGATGGCGCCATCCTCACAATGGGGCAACCGGAGCTGTTTGTTGCTACACGAGAACCTTCACGAGCTTGTAGCCCCACTGTAACACCAACACTTTTTCCCCGCCACCACCACCACACGCACACACACACACACGCACACACACACACACGCACACACAGAGATAGATAGGGGCCGTTAAGAGACGAAAAGATGGCGGAGGAGGCGACCGGGACGCGGCAAAAATGGACCCCAGCGCCGTCAGAACAACACCCTTCAGCAGTTTCGCTACAGGGCGGTGAAGAGACATTAAACCTCCTCCTTAAACTCAATCCTTCAAGCAAGTATTCAGTATTACCTCATAACCGTGTGTAAACACAAAGGCTGGAAAGGTTCCGGAGCGGCCCGTGCACATTTATGCGCGGCTCTGATAGCACCCCTAGCCGCCCAAACATGCATCGATGACAATATACCCTGTGTCACCACGGTATTAGTAGATCTAGATCTAGATCTAGATCTACGGGGTCCGTACTGATGCTGATCTTTGCTTCCCTAAAGCGCACAGGGTGCAGGGGGTCAATGACTCGTGAAACGTTTTCCCCCCGTCACACACACACACACACAGACACGCACACACACACACAACACACAACAACACACGCACACGCATGCACGCACGTACACACACACCCAACACAACCACATATAAACAAACAAGCAGCCACCTGTGTCTCAAATCCAACATCCTGCTCGACCTTGCCATCTCATACCTACACCAGTACTAGTGCCCCCACGACCACACGAGGCGCTTGTCCCATTCCCCTGTCCTCTGCAACACGACGTTCTACCTGGCGGCAAAAAAGCGAGACCTGCCAAACCTGCACATCACACGCACATCACGGACAGACAACTTCACAACGTATTTACAACGTACATTGCGCGTATATGCACACACATGCACATACTTCCAATAGCGGTACGAAGGTAGGAAGAAGGTAGGGAGAAGAACTCACAATGATAAGCGGCATATAACGCCACCTCACATATGAAACCAAACCAAAGACATTTGGTGCACACCACACAAGGGCGCGCACAAGAGGGAAAGACAGGCATGGGAGAGGACGCAGGAGAAGAGAGACACAGTTTTTCAACAAAACACGAAGAACAACAACCCATCCCCCCCCTCTCAGCGTGTTCCACAGTGCATCAACAAGCTGACTCAACCCAAAGCCAATCTCACCACCACGCGCCGCCGCCACCTTCCCTCCAAGCGCCAACACACCTCCAGACCCCCAGCCGGCCCGATCTCAACACTGAGCGCACAGCTGGTTGTGCGCCGTGCCCTGGTAGCCCTCCCACACCCAAGCCAAAACACACACAGACACACAGACACACACACACACACATGGAGCTGCATGGAAGTGGAAGTGTGCACCAATATGCACACAGAAAGTGTCCCAACGCGGCGAGGTTGCAGCGACGGCTGTTGCAGCGCCGACGGCGGCAGTAGCGCTACAGCTGATGTACCTACACGCTACACGCTACCCCGTCGCTCCACGGTCACGCCGCACAGCCACCGGCATAACGGCTTTCTGGCCTTCCCGACGTAATGCCACTTCACAGCCACCGCATTCGCTGCCGTCGCAACCACTCTACCCGCAGTAGCGCCTGCTGCTGCTACGTTGCAACGTGCTGCTCCAGACAAACATCAATCCAATCCCCCTCCTCGGTGCGTGGGGGTGTGCGTGTGTATACATGTGCCCAAAGACGAGAACCGCTCCCTCCCCTCTCCCCCCCCGCCGAAATCCACTTTTCGTCCCTGCCGCACGGCTGGCTGTCCTTTCCCCCCCTCCGCCCCTCGCCTTTCACTGCCACCACTGCCCGACTGCCCACACTGCGCTGCGTTCTGGCTGATTCTGGCTGGCTGGCTCCGTGGCATATGGATATGATGTGACATCCCTCGTCTCAACCTCAACTCCCCTCCCTCCTCCTCCGCTTCCTCTTCCTCCCCCGCACATTGCCATACATTGCCCCCCCAAACAGCCCACCAAACGCACCCATCTGCCGCACCGTGCCGGTAACCACGTGCACCTGCTTGCATTCATCCAGGGATATGATGCCCCCCTATGATGACCTTACCGCGGGTGGTGAGGAACAACGTCCGTCCACAACAACTCAGCTCTGACGACCACCTTACGGAGCCCGCAAAGACTCACCCTAGGTCGCGGCTGCTGCGGGGGCGGCACAGCCCTCATCTCACCCAACACCTAACCCGCACTTTATCCGCTTGATCGTGGGAACCTGTTCTCGTCCGAGAGCTCCACCCCTTCCCACGTGTCCATTTCCGTCCGCATGCAGGGCATGTTCCCTCTTGTCGAGGCCAGCAGTTTTCACCTCCCCTCTACAAGCCATGCATATCCCTCCCGTTCCCGTTCTCGTCCTTGTCTAGAACGCGAGGCCAAAGACATCGATCCGCGGGTCGTCCGAGGCGCCGAAGAGGACTGCCTGGCCAGATACCCCCGGGCCGCCCGCCCAGCGAATGTCGTGGTAGTACTTGAAGGGCCGGCCGTCGGGGAAGGGCGGCGCCATGACGGTGCTGGGCGCGGTCATGTTGGTGAAGTCCATCACGTAGAGGCCTAAGGACGGATCGGTGATGTGAGTGTTTGGGTGGTGTTGGGTGGTGGTGATGGTGGTGGTGGTGGTGGTGGTGGTGATGGTGGTAGTGATGGTGATGGTGGTAGTGATGGTGATGGTGGTAGTGATGGTGATGGTGGTAGTGGTAGTGATGATAATGATAGTGATGATAATGATAACAATGATAATGATAGTGATGTGACGTGGTGGTGGTGGTTATGGCGATAGCGGTGACGACGGTGTAGGCGCGGGTGTGTGCGTGGGTAGGGTAGGGGGAGAGGGTGACAGTTGGATCGAAAAGAAGAGAGGAGTTTAGGAAACCTGAATGTGCAGGGGGGTGGATGACCATCCCATACGCCCGCATCCCCCCCGCGCGCTTCAAATTCGCTACTCCGCCAGGAACAGGAACACGAACAGGTGGACCTCGCTTTCCTCGCCACCCTCCAGTCCCAACCCCCGCATTTCAAGTCATCATGAACTCACCCTGGTAGGTGCTGATCGCCGCAAGACGAGAGTGCGGCGCTCCGGTGACCGCAACCTGCCGGTTGTTAGTTGACAGTGGTTAGTTGACAGTTGTGAGTTGGCAGTTGTGAGTTGGCAAATTGAGGTTGGTTGCGCTCGCAGCAGAGCAAAGATCCCTCACACAGGCCTCTTCCTACCTTGAGCATGGGCTGCGTGTCAATTTGCAACTTGACTACGGGACCCGCCACCGACCCGTGGGTCATGTTGAGCTGCCTGAAGTCCCAGATGCACAGGAAGCCATCCACGGCTGCGAGCCCGGGGTGAGGGGTGAGGGGTGAGGAGGAGAGCGAGTCAGAACCGAGTGACGATGTGAGTGGTGAGGAGTGCATGTGTATTCAGGTGTGTAGAGGGCGGTAAGACGAACCACTGGCGAATGGAGCAGATACCAAAGGCGGGTATTCCAGGAGAAGATAAATGCTGCAGGAAACTCAACAGTGTGTGTGTGTGGGGGGGGGGACCGAAGAGAGGGAGAGACCCAGCTGCCGACATATCCAAAAGACCAACACACACACACACACACACACACACACACACACACACACACACACACACAAACACAAACACACACACACACCAGGGTTCGACACCCCGTACGGGGCCCGTAAGTTTTTGGCCTTTTTTCGGTATCCCCGTCAGGGCCCGTAGGACTTTTCGGTGGCTCCCGTAAGGATTTTGGGGCGCAAAGCGCCCCGTACGGGGCCGCCCCCGGACGGGCCGAAGGCCGGTTACGGTGGCTCCCGTAAGGATTTTAAGGATTTATAAGAGGCCGTACGGGGCCCTGTAGGGGAGAGGACGGACCATATAAAGGATAAGGCCACACACTTGGCAGACATAATTCATATTCCAATATTTAACTACACTTTTCATAATACTTTTATAGCTACTGGTCTGTAACATCCAGCGATGGCAGACAATGAGTCGTCAGGAGGTGACCAAGGGCCTCCTAATCCACCGCCCTCCACGAAGCGCGAGAAAATAACGAAAATAACGATTTACAGGGCAAAAAAATGCAAAGCGTCACTTTCCACAGCGTTTCAGCCAAGGACAGTGCCCCCGTAAAGGTTTTGCGGGGGTTACGGGGGCCCCCGTAAGGTTTTCGGCCGGTACAGGAGCCTGGTACGGGGGCCCCACCGTAAGGAAATTTTGGGAGGTACGGGGGAGCCCGCAAGTTTCAGGAAGGTCAGTGTCGAACCCTGACACACACACACACACACACCACATCGCCTGAAGGCCCTTCTTCAATCTTCTCGGTCATCTTCTCTACATCGTTCCAAAGTCCTCCCCACCCCTCCCTATGCATATCGGCAGTGGACCCTTTACTTTGTAAATAAATATTTTTTTGCCCTCTCTCCTCAACTCTACCACAGACCAGAAACCCCCTCCTACTACCTCCTACTACCTCCTCCTTCCCTCCTCCTCCCCCTCACTCCCCTCCCCCTCCCCCCCCCTCCACCTCCTCCTCTCCCCCCATGACCACTCACAGGAGCTAAGCAGCAGGTTGTCCGTGGTGTCCAGGCAGGTCACCATGTCGTTGTGGGCCTTAGGGAAGAAGGAACGTGTACATAAAGGAGAACACACATCCAAGGAAACAACAAGGAATCAACTGAGGCCGTCTAAAAGGTCTGAAAGGTGGAACCGCGAACCGGGAAATGCGGCCGCCCAGGGAAAGAGCACGGGGGCGCCCTCGTCATTACCTTTGCCTTGTAAACATGAAAATTTCCCTGCCTTCCCCTTATCGGTTGGCCCCGATATTATGTGAGCGTGCGGGGTGGGGGGTGGGGGGAAATTATATGCACGGAAACCAAAGGTGAACTGCCGGCGACCAAGGTCCGAAAGTTGGGGGGTGAGGGGGTGTTTTGGTAGGCGAGCGGGAAGAAAATCCACCTAGCAGCCTCGCGCGTTGTGGTGTGGTAAAAGGGCAAATCCACCTGGGAAGTCAACTCCACCACTCCACCCCTCCTTCTTCCCCTCCTTCTTGCCCCCCAACTCCCTCACCCTCACCCCTCCTCCTCCACTTCCTTCTTGCCCCCCAACTCCCTCACCTTCACCTGACCCGGCGCGGTACTCGTCTCCCCAAAGCTGCCCACGCTTTGCTGCATGCGGCGGTCCCACACGCGGATGGACGCGTCGCGACCCCCCGACACGAACACGTACGGATTAGCGCCCCAGGGAACCCCGCACGTCACCATGTCGCTGTGCTCGTTGTACACCACCAGCGGCGTCAGCTGCTCCAGGGGGCCGCCGCGAGAGGCGTCGTACAGACACACCACGTCCTGCGTGTGTATAGTCACCGCGAGGGTTAGTGGGAGACAGCATGGGTGGAGTGGGGGGCGGGGGAGAGGGGTTGTGAGGTAGGAGGAGGGTTAGGTATTGGCAATGACTCTCCCCGCATTGAACGCTGTATCGAAGTTATTAATTATATTTAGTTTGTATTCCATCATATCACTTTGTATTATATTATTTTGTACCAAATTTGTACTGTTTTTATTAATATATTAATTATTTGAATATTCTTGTATTAAATTTGTATTTCTATTAACTGGTAAATTAATACTAGTAATAACTAGTAATAGTCATAGTAACAGCTACACGCACCCGGGAAGCCGCAGCCGGCTCACAATTTTCCCCGAGTGCGAAGATCTCTCCATCGCCACCCAGGGCCCGAACAAAGCTGATGATGCCGCGGTTCATGCCGTACAACCGACCGCGAGGGCTCCATGCACCGACCCGTGGGACGCCGGGGCTGCCGCCGGGGGGCGGTGCGAAACCCAGCACGCATGGCGGCTCGGTGCCGGCATGCGGCCCCTCGGGGTTGGATACGGCGGCCGCCAGGAGGGTTCCGGAGCGGGGAAGCACGTCCAGCGAGCAGACGAAGTGGGACGACACGTCCATTCTGAAGGGGGGAAGAGATGGGTTATTGATTGTTAGATTTAGGCGTTTTTGATGTAGCGCTGCTGAGCTGTTGGTGTATACCCAGGTATCGCCAGGCGCGCTTTTCGTCTCCCCAGTTGCGATGGGTTGGTGGGCATGGAAGGGGGAAGGAGGGGGAGGTGGGAGGAATGGGGGGAGGAAGAGGAGGTGGGAGGAGGAGGTGGGAGGAGGAGGTGGGAGGAGGATTCCTTCTTCCTCCCTCCCAAGTTGGGATCACCGGCGCGCCGCCACACTCGTGGGGGCCCCTGTGTGTGTATGTGGCCCTCACATTTGCCCCCTCGCATTGCCCCCTCGCACATCCTCTGAACAATACCCTTACTAGCTCCCCGAACAACCCCGAACTCCCGCTGCATGGCCCCCTCGCACATACCTGCTGACGGGCGTTCCATCGTGCCCCCACACCAGCAGCTGCCCGTCCTGACCTCCGCTGGACAGCTGACCGTGAGTCGCATCGTAGCACAGAGTGAACACGGTGGCGCCGTGGCCCTGGTAGCAACCCAGATGGGTCATGGCGCTGGGAGCAGCGGGCGGAGGAGGTGCCGCGGCGGCGGATGATGCAGCCGGTTGCTTTGGCGCCGCAGCTGCGGCCGCAGCCGGGGCGGCTGCTGCTGCTGCTGCAGCCGCTGCCGTTGCGGCGGCAGCGGCAGCGGCGGTGCCGCCTGCGGGATCTCCCCCCTGGAGCTGGGAGCCTGGCGGCATCAAGGCGTGCTGGGGAAACGGAAACACGGGGGGGAAGCAGGGAAAAGATGCGAGTTACGCATAAGTTACGCAACTAACTTCCGCAAAAATGCGGGGTAGCGTCCGTACAAGCCGGGGGTTCCCCAGCAAACGAGACGCCGAGGACTTAGGTTTTGTTTCGGGGGGAAGGGGGGAAGGGGAGGTAGGGTTTGGGAGAGATAGGGAGATATTCAAAGGGAGTGAAAGCTCGAGTGAAAGCTAACGCCTAAAGGCCTCTCCAAAGTCACGGCATTTTTGTGGCAGAGTGTTTGTCGTACCAGCGTTCCCAGAATGTATTCCAGGTCGTACTGGAAGACGTCCTCCTTGACCGATTCCAGGGAGCGCCAGAGCGAGGCTAGATGAGTCTCCGGAGCGCGGAGCAGCTGTGTGCGGTTTCGGAGCGCAAAAGCAAGAAGATGAAAGACAAGTAGATAATTTAATAAGATTTTGTACAGTTTGCTGCAAAAAATTGCTAAGCAGATGACATTTTGATGAAGCCGTTATTCAGTTTGGATGGGAAGTTTTAACAGCACACACAAAAAAACTTATTCCACAAGGGAACATTTCTCCATCGAGAGAAAGTAAAAATTCAGCTTCGCGATGATGACTCTGAAATTATCGGAAGCATAGCGGAATGTGGTGGGCATGTCGGCGACTATCACATCTGAGCGCGGGTGCTGTGGCAATTTTAGGAATCGGGAATGTGAAGTCGTTTCGGATGAGATCTGTTATCACAGCTCCTACACAGGCACTATGCAGGTAGAGAAACAAAGAAACCGAGAAACAACAAACAAATAAACAAATAAGCAATCAATCACAAAAATCGCATACATCACGACACCCAAAACCGTGAAGCTAAAACGGCTAATCCACACGCGCGCAAAAAATATGCGCAAAAAGTAAGAAACCGAAAAAGAAAGCGCCACGTTTTCCTGCACCTGCTGTCCGCAGTACTCGACAGTCTTGGCAAGGATGGTTATACCCGCACATTTGGTCTCGGGCTTGCCCAGCAGGCGAATAATGGTCTGTACGGCACCTGCAAAGAAACAGCAACGATACAAATAGTAACAAGAACCATACGGGAATCGTACGGCAGCCACACGGCGAGCTCGTGAAATTTCTGTAAAAAAAACTGGCGGCGGCAATTGTTAGATCACGACTTCAGAAAGCATAGTACCGATCGGCGGATGATCATCCCGTGATTTATCCTACAGAACAAGACAGCAATGGCCGCGCGCCTGTGGCGCGCGCTGTGTGTGCGCGAGGTCGCCCCACCCTCTTTCCCCAAGTCCCTCCTCCCCCTCCCCCTCCCCTTCCTCCTCCTCCCCCTCCCTCTCCATCCCCAAAGAAAAACCCTACACGTGCGAACCCCGAACGACACCCAGTGGTGAGGCCCCCCAACCCCCCTCTCCAAGCTCCACCCCTATAACCCCCCTTCCTTACCATCCAGGGGCACCGCCTCAAACTTTACTAGTGCTGCGAACGCATCCGCATAGGCGAAAAATGACGCACGGTCGGCGTTGACCGGTCTCTTCTTGGTCAACATACCTAATACCTATCGGAATGAGGGGGTAGCGGGGGGGTAAGGGGAAGGGGGAAGACGAATCACGAACAACGAGTGAAGCTGCTGTCAAAGAAAGAGTGTACAAGAAGCAGAACTGACCAGTAGGCATTCTTGAAGGGGGTTAAGGAAACGGAATGGAAAGGATTTGGGCATAAGGGCGAGTGGAGGGGGAATTTGGGGCTTTTGGACTGACTGAATCGCAGGTGGGAATGTGCGCAGGAATGGATGCAAAGTGAGAGGTAAGGACACATCGTCAAAACTGAGCCGGTGGAATGGAAAGGGACTTTGCCACTAGAGGTCTGATGAGTAAAAGAAAAAGAGAGAGAAAGGGAGAGAAAGAGAGAGAAAGAGAGACTAAGAGAGAGGAAGAGAGAGGAAGAGAGAGGAAGAGAGAGGAAGAGAGAGGAAGAGAGAGGAAGAGAGAGAGAGAAAAAGAGAGAGAGGTACATTTTTTGAAAAAGGTGGGAGGACAGATGAGGAGGTGGGGATTGGGAAGAGATCAACGGCGTCTCCAACGTGTGGGCGTGGAGGACAGAGCAGAAGCCTCCGGTGGAGAGGATAAAATGCCATACAAAAACAGATAAACGAAGTTAAGAAGAAAAGATTGTGTGCGGAGTGTGTCTAGAGTATCGTACGACGGCCCGGCGGCTGTCCAGAAAGCACTCGGCCCCCTGCTCCGAAACCTCCCCAGTCCCCACCTTGGCAACCATCTTCTCCCGGACCTTGAATCGCGTGACGTCCGGCAGTCGTGGGTACAGCGACATGTACGGCATCTGCAGTGCCGTACGGCACAAAAGAACACACGAGTGCGGGTCCGGATATCGTGACACACACGACCATAAATGCATAGTACATACATACACACATTCAATACATACACACATAGGCAGGCGGCTGGCAGAGGTTAAGGCCTGACTTCTGCTCCCAGTCGACCCAGTCGACCCGGGTTCAAATCCGCCTGCCGGCTCCTCGGGTGTTTGAGGAGTGATGAAATGGGAGGTGGCCCCCCATCTTATGGACGGTGTAGGACGTGATAATATCAACTTGCGAGCTGACCAGGAACTAAGTTGATGCGCCGTTGATCCGCTAGATTTGGTTGGATGCTGGTGGTGAGTTGCCGAACCCAACGAATACATTCTGAAGTCGGATGGGGTGACGGATTAGGGTGCCCCTCTAGCAGGGGAGAGCAGGGACTGCCCCGGGAAAGGGGGCGCTGGCGAAGTTAACCACCCTGTAACAACATACATACACACATTCAATACATACATACATTCAATACATACAAACATACATATATTCACAGATACGCAATAGTGCACGTGAAAGGCGCAGGTACCGTTATCAGCAAACGCCATGCAAGAGACGTCGTGCAACAACGCGGGTGCGCCCCCCATCACCCCCCCCACTTCCCCCCCATCAGCAGCTTCACTCGTTCGTGGTTCGTCTTTCCCCCCCCCACACACACACATCCCAACCCACCACCCGACCGCCGTTACATCCTTCCCAACCTGTCGCAGGCGCAGGTGCACCTACCCACTGACTATAATCACCCACAGAGCCACACCCACACACACACCCCGGCCTCACCACGCCAGCAGAGGATCCGATGACCTCGGGGTTATCAAACACGCACTGCTCAAAAGCCGCAACCAAATCCTGGTTGTAACGGGTGTAACGGTTGTCGCAAAAGAACACACCACAGGACGGAAAAACAGTGGTGGTTGTGGGTCGAGAAGGGAATGGTTAGTTAGGCGAGTAAGCAAAAAGAGGTGTGTCGGCGAGCAAAGCGGGAGGGAGAGAATCTGGCCTTTACACTTCCAATGTTTTTTGTTTTCAGAGCCTTCAGGGCCTCAAAAAGAAATTTGAGAATCTTGTTTCGCTGCCTGGCCACGGGGGCTACCGGAGAGTGATGTGGAACAGTAGCAGTGAAACATCGTTGTCCCAACTGCACCCATGAGAAACATACATACATACTATATGCATACATATATATACAGACAGACAGACGCACATCGGATCGGAAATGGCCCCTGATCACACGTACCTCCGCGGCCTTGTCCAGGTTATTGGCCTCGTTCGCACCGCGCAAGGTCTCTATGACATCAGCCACCGCCTGGCGGGGGAATGGGAGAAATCAAGGGGGAACACAATACACACACGGATAATTAGACACTCTGTCAGCTACGTTTCGAGGAAAGTGACCAACATCAAAAACTAATAGAAAAAATACCCTTCACGTTAAAAACACAGGCTCGTGGCAGAGTGGGAGAAAGGTAAAGGAGAGACAGGAACCAGTTTCCAAATCGGCGTTAAAGTTACAAGTTCCGCACACAAGTGCGGGTGTGTCCGTAAAAGCCGGGGGGGGCGCCATGGACGTTAAAATGTTTTTTATTTCCATTAAAAGTACGACGCACCCACGGACACCTCCTTGTAGATCCGTGGTCAGTTAAAGAAAAGAGAGCTGAGCAAACTTCCCAGCAAGCACGTCCATTACTAGTTCTTCTTCTTCCCATTTAGTTTACCACCACACCATATCACAACGCAACAACATTTCCCTGCCTCAATCTACCCACCCCCTCCTCTGCCTCTTCGCCTCTCCCATCGGCCATGGCCACCCTTACCAACCACCAACCACCAACAATACCACCACCATCCCAACCACCGGAAGGCACACACACCCACACCCCATGCCCTCCCAGAACCCCTCGCCCTCCACCTCCCCTCACACCATATTTTCTCCCACCTGGTGCCTTTTGCACATGTGTATATGTGCATATGTATGTATGTGTGCACATATGTGTGCATATGTATATATGTATGTCAGCTGTCATCGCCCCTATCATCCACACGCACGGCTGTGCGTGGCTGTAAGATTAAATTCCTCTCTCGGCATGCTGCGCAATCTTGTTCCTTTAAGACTTCCCCTCCCCCCGTCGTTGGCAGGGGAGTCCTGGTGAGTTTCGAGCTTTGTCGGTATATCGCGCTGCGTCGGCCGGCTAGTCGGCCGACTAGGATAGTTGGGTCGGTCGTGTCGAGTGCGTGTTGGGGGTTTGGGAAGGAGCACGTGCATGTCACCAGCTCTTTATCACCAGCTTATCAACCAGTTTTGCTCCAGCCTCTTCAATGTCGCCGCCAGGCCGGCGGCAAGCTTTATTCCAGCTTACGTCACCCCTTTCTCTTCTCACGTCAGTTTTTAATACTTTTTTGCCGCCTTTACACCTACCTTTACTACTTTACGGCTTGGTTCTACTGCTCTTTTTCCGCTCTTGCATGCGGCTAGGTAGGTAGTTTTCCGCTGTCGTCGTCACGCTACATCATCCCGAGGACTGCTGCTTCACAACCTCCGACTGGTCAGTTCTGCTTCCTGTACATCTGCCGCAGCACTCTTTCCTTGGATGCAGCTTCACTCGCTCAGGTGGTGCGTCTTTTCCCCGCTCCGGAAGCGAGGATGTACACGCCCCCCTCGTTCCCAACCTCCCCGCCCCCTTTTTAAAATCTTTAAAATCGTCTCCCTTCATGCGCGCGCTCGCGCGTTTCGCTCTGGCATCTGGGTCACGGTGTCCCACGGAAGACCGCGTCATGTCCACTGCCCGCTTCTACTCATCTAGTCTAGAGAGCCACATCACCACCGCCACCACCACCGCTATTTCTTCCATTCCCAGAGTTTTCCCACCCCCCACTCGCCAAGGCAAGGTTGGAGGAGGGGGACTCATATCGGGGTGGCTTCGAAGTCAAGGAGGGAAGCAACTGCCCCGACGTTCGAAATTGCGAGAACGAGCTGCCGGACGAGTTTTGGGGCGGCTGTGGACGAGGAATCCCGTCACCCGAGAAGCAACCACGGGGGAGGCAGAGGCAGGGGGAGGCCGACCCAGGAACGAGTGAAGCTGTGGTGCCAAGGAGGATGGACTGTTACTGGCGGTAGAGGTAGAGGTAGAGGAGACTGGGGAAAGACGAACCACGAACGAGTGAAGCTGCTGGAGAAGGAGAAGGGGGGAGTGCGGCGAGCTGAGGGCTCGCGGCAAGGCTGAGGGGAGGGCTTAAGGAGAAGTCGGACTACATGCGCGCTCGTGGCTGGGGAGAGCCACTCGTAATTGGGAACGGGCCCGGAGGGAAAGTCGAACCACTGCTGGCGAATGAAGATCAAATACCAGATAAAATGGACGGATAGTGCGGGGGGGGGGGGAAAGGGGTTGCTTACCTGTTCCTGGGCAGATGGATTAGCGAGGTGCGGCAAGATGAGGGCGAACGTCCGAGGCTGGCCCTGCGGCGGTTGCGGAATACCCGGAGGGGCGAAGTTTGGAGCAGGCAGGGGTTGGCCTGGCTTGTGTGTCGGCTGATGCGGCGCGGCCGGGGGGATGGCAGGTGCCGCTGGCGCCGCCGGTTGGGCTGGCTGCTGCTGCTGCTGGGGCGGCGGTAGCGGCGGCGGCGGCACCAGGGCGGGCGGAGGAGCGCCAGCGCGGTTGGCAGGCTGGTAAAGGACATTCCCGTTCGGCAGGGTGGAGGAGGGGGCCGGCGGCGGCGCCACAGCAGCAGAGTGAGATACGGATTGGGGGACGGCTCCAGGAGGAGGCCCGGACGCTGATGAAGATGTGGCTGAAAGGGCGCTGGCGCCTGGGGTCACGACTTTTACGTGATCCGTGAGCGTTCTGCAGGGATGGCAAAGAACATGGTTGCGGCCATCGAAAGGGAAAAGCTGCTCTTGGCATCAAACCGTATAACGCTTGAAAACGCAGTTTGCTACACTTCACGTCCATGCATTCGGCAATGCTATAATGTCAAGGTCGCGACACGACGAAAGAATCGAACCTCCCCGAGTCGGAACTAGAGAACCAACCATCACTAGGTATTCTAGAAGGTTAGAACATGGGACTTCTATCCGTGCCTAGGCGGCATACATCAAGCCTAATTGCCCCGCCTAAACTTGAGTCGACCTCATGCGCCGTCGAAACCACGCACCTAAGGGTGCTAAGAAGCTCAGTTGCCAGCCCCACTTCATCAGGTTGGATCTCAAGTTCAATTGTAATTTTCATGTCGGCAGCGTTGAAGCAGGTCTAGGGCCTGCGCCGCCCGTTCCAGGGACTAATGCCGACCAAATCAAGGCTTAGGGTACGGACGTTAACTACACCAGTGCAGACCTTACGAAAACTCGACGTCAAAAGCTACTAAACCCTTAAAGCTCCGTGAAAGCAGTTCGCGGTTAGGTGTAGTACGGTGTACGGTAATACGGTGCCAGCAAAGCTATCGTATCAGGTAGTCGAGGAGACACTATTACACTCATTATGATCCAAGGCGTGCCCCAGACTTTTGCTTTGCTGTTGGTCGGCCATCCGCGCTACCAAAGGGGATTAAGATTCAACTTCGGCACGGCCAGGGGACCACGGAACGGTATGCTAGGTAACAGAGCGTGCTTGCTGACTTCATGGCCCCACTCCTAGCCCCGGATGTCTTTTGTGTTCCGGCCCTGTCAGGTTCCGCTTTCCCTTACTCCTGGTCCCCTCCTCCGCGCGCATCTGGCGCAGCTCAAGTGCTTCATGCACTTCCGCGCAATTCCCGGGCCGTCCAGCCACTGTTGTCCGCCAGCTAGCTTTCTTTCCTGTTTCCTTTTTTCCAGTGTTTGCCGTGCGTCTCGTTTGTAGCACTTACACAATTTCGCACTCGCTAGCGCTCATCATGCTACGCCTGCGTTTTTGGAGCCATGTATGTGGACCGATGTGTAGCTCTGTAGTCGTCCCGCTGCAGAGGAATCACGGAGAGGGCGCAGATGGAATGGGATAGCAGCATCTGCGATTTCCGCCCATGAGCCGCGTTCAAGATCTACCGTTCATTGCCGTACGTGTTGCAGTCAGTTGCCTGCTGTTGTGAGCATTAAACAGTATCCGCCTAAACGAACCTGACAAATCCGAACTCCACCATGCCGTTGGTTTCCAACCCAACACAAGTCAAAGCCGGGAGGAATTCACAAGCATGATGGCGCACTCACATATGCACAGACAGCAGATATTCCACGTCTCAGACGCTTGGAGAGGTGTTACAGGTACTGCACCCTGAACCTGACCGCAGTACAACAAGTCCGGTCACTAAGGCACTCGACTCAAGTCCTAAGGACACACTGCAGCATCTGTGTTACAGCATTTAAGAGACGTAAGTTGCACCCAAACCTTTCCCTGTGCCGTCCACCTGCTGTGCTTATCCCCAACACATCCGCCGTGCGAAACACTTCCCCATTGGATGCCCACGTCCACATATCTGCAAAGGGTCCTCCTACTGAAAGGCAACCTCCTTTCTTGCTCCATAATGATCAAAATCTCTTTCGCGTCTCGCTGTTCCAACATCCCTTTCACGTGGCGGGCTGCTGCTTCATAGACGGCAACATGTTGGGAGTCGCGCTTGCGCACCTTAGCCACACATCCTGAACTATGCGCGTAGATCAGTCCAAACAGAAATGTTATCCTTATCGTAGTACTATATGCCTTTTCAAAGGCTCTCATCGCTGCTCCGCGGCGTCATGCCAGACCTTGTCGCTTCTGCTCCTCTGCTAGCCATTTAATCATCCAGCCGACTGGCTCTTGCGGTCGTTCAACGAAAAGGTCAGCCGTCATCTTCTGTAGGAGCTCCTGTACTTTGTTGCTGTGGGCGTACTCCCGCATCTTCTCGTAAAGGGGCGTCTGCACCGCGCTACCATGAAGCGGCCTGGACTCGGAATATTGCGTAGACATTCTTAAAAGAATTAGCGCTTGTATGTCTTGTTAAAGAGGGCAAACTGATCGTCGACCCCAAGACTAACAATAGACAAAAAAATTTACTTCGTCTAAAATTACGTCTCTACCATCACAATATCCCGTGAGCCTCTTGGACGTAATAACACATCTACGAGTTTTGCTATCGAAGGTTGCACGGCACCGTATCAGCAATGGGAATCCCGCAACGAAGGCGAAACTTTCAGGCTTAATCGGCTGTAAATATGCACACGCGTCCCCAAGGGCCTCAATGATTCCGCACTATTGCATTTCCGGTGGCTATTAGTAGCCGCCACACTCGGGTTTTAAAAAACGCTACAAACAGCGAACAGTGTAGTAAACCGGTGGACGCCGTAAGCATGTGGGCATTTACAGGTTACAGCAACGCTTCGGGCATGCGCTCGCTGAAGGTTCGTGTCGGGTCAATTCTTGATGAACAAACCTTGCACTCCATCGCAGTGGATGGCCCTGCGGGCTCCCGCAACCGGCACCTATTTCGCTCCATCCAAACCATACCAACAGTCCCAGAGCCGAACTCGCACACGTGCCGGCCTGCTATGCTACGTTTGAAACACACGCTCCTGCTTCCCCCGCGTGCTGCAGGCGGCCATGGCTGTTAGCCCGCCCCCGAGCTCCAGCACCCTCATGCCTTCTTCTCACCGCACTGCCTCAAACGCAGCTCTATGCTTCAGGAACCTTCATAACAGCTATTTCGGAAGGAGGCCAGGCGCCCACATGCCCCCTCCCCCCACTGCCGCTGCTGCCGCCACTGCTAACGGCCCCGGCCAGGAGACGCAACCTCCCCCCACTTCACGAGCCGGTCGCAGGCGACCGCACCGGGGCCCTTCTTATGATGCCACGGACAACAGTCGCAGTAGCAGTAACTATAACAACAACCGCAGCCACAGCCGCAGCAGTAGCAATGATTTCACGGAAGCGGAATGGGAGCAGGCGGGCAGTAGCAGTAGCAACAGCTTCCGTACACACGGCGGCGGTGACAGGGGGTTTTTTCATGGTGGCAGGGGCAGGGGCAGGGGGGTTCCGGGGGACCGGAAACGGGAGCACGGGAGCGCCACTGGATCATCCGCTCGAAATAACCAGCAAGAAATGTTATTAGATGAGCGAGAGTGGCGTAAGGGAATGAGCGGTCAACGCAGCGCACGCAGCGGGCGTTCTTCGGCATTTCCACTTGATAAGCCAAAGCCACACAGCGGCTCCGAAGCCTTTGCTTCAGCGGATCGTACGGATCGTACGGACTCCCCGGCTCGGCGGGCCTCGACTGCCGGATCGCCACGGAGCGCCTTGAGCCGTCAGTTGAAGGAAGTTAAGAGCTGCCAGCAGTTGCTGCAACTGCTCCGAAACCAACCACCGGAAGCGTTGACCGCAGTCAACATCGCGACCGCGTGGGTACGGCTTGGGAGCGTGCAGTCCAGGGGACCGCTCCAGGAGGGGGGAGAGAAGAGCGCTTATCGCGGCGGCAGCAGCGGTGGAACGGCTTCTGTGGCGGAAGACAAGGAGAAGCAAGGCGACGACGACGACGACGACACGGAGTCGACCTCGCCGTGTACGGCGGTTGTACGGCAACTGTTGGAGCCGACGGCGACGGCGGCGAATGAGATGGACTTGCGGCAGATTGCCAACGTGCTGTGGGGTATGGCCAAGGTGGGCCGAGGTCGAATGGCGTGAACGGCGTAAACTTTTAAGTGATATCTGTATTTTAGTTTAGCTAGTTTAGCTAGGAAATGATGGAGACGTAATTGTGATTTAAGCACACGACCGATTACAACAACAAATTATGCGGTAATATATCTGTACCTGTATCCGATTTTCGATACCTATAGGTCGGAGATCGCGCGCTGATGCTTTCCAAAAGGAGCGGTAGAGACGGCTTCGGCAACGCGCAAGGTGGCGACGGCTACAGCCCAAGACGAGCGCTACAGCGACTACAGGATCGCGCTGTTGAGCTGCTACAGCAGCTGCTGGCTCCGCCGCCGCCAGAACAGCTACTGCTGGATGTACGGGATGCTACGCAGATATGGTACGGCATGGCGGGCCTTAGTCATCAATATTCCTGGAGCGACTCATTGTGTACGGCATTGGAGGCGGCGACGCTGCAGGCTATGGAAGCTGGACGAGCTGCTGAGGCGGCGTACAACGACACCAATGGGCCGTTGGCGGGTATGGCACGCAGCGGCGGCGTCGGCAGTGGTGGCGGCAGGACAGGAAGTAGTTGGGCTGAGAATCGTACACGTACGGCGCAAATCGTGTTTCGTATGGCCGCCGTCAGCGGCGCAAAAATGAACCCTGGGCACAAGGCCCGTCTGGCGGCCGTCATTGACGTCATGTCGTACGGCGATACGGAATTGGAGTACAACGCGTCGCCGCCGCTTGAGAACCCCGACTGCTTATTGGTTGGCGCACAACTGCTGCGGCTGGAACTACGTATGGAAACTGTACGGCGGCTGCACGACATGGCCTTGGCGTTGCCGCCAGAGGCAGCGGCCCGTACGGGACGTACGGCGATGGCCCGCGCGCTGAACAGCGCCGTGGGCCTTGGGTACCAACCCACCGCTTCAGAGGCGCGGCGCTGGGAACGGCGACTGGTCGAGGAACTTGGCGGCGATGATAGCGGCGGCGGCGGCGGCGGCAGCGGCGGCAGGTGGACGTGCGAGGGGCTTTCGTGGACGGTGATGGCGCTCTCCAGCGTCAAGGCCTACCTGCCTGATGAGGACATGGGGGGGGTGTTCGTTGGGGCGTTACGTCGGTTGGTACGGCAACTTCGGTCCAACGACGCGACACGGGTAGCACACGCGATGCGGGCTTGGGGGTTGCGGCTGCCGGAGCGCGAGGCGGCGCTGCTACGGCAGAAGGCGGCGGCGGCGGCGGCTGAGGGACCTGTATGGAGTGGTGGTGACGGCGCCGCCAGCACCCGAAGCGGCGGCGGCGGCGGGAGGGACTTTGCATTTCGCTCTTGGGGATTCCGACGGTGATTACTCTTCCTCGCGCGTAAACCAAGTCACATTGTCGTAACTTATAAGATTCTGATTTATTATCGTGTCTTGTACGACTATGTACGACTGGTTCTCGTCTGGCTGGAAATGTCGATCCTCCAGCTGGGATGTCCGCTGTGAGTTCATCGCCGGCGGCGTTTTTCCCAGTGAGCTACCTCATTTAGCTGTTTACCTTTTTTTGTTTTGCGTCAGATGCGTTTGCGTCGTCTTGGTGATGAGGGATGATAAAAGATAGCTTATTAGAGCGGGGGACCGCTCGCAATAAGGAGGTTTCAAGAACGAGGACCCGTTTTTGAGGGTACGCGCAGCAAAAGCCTGTAGCCCTCTGACTTCTGATCTCTGTGTAACGCCCACAGGCAAAGATTGGGCAGGTAGAGCTCGCATGGGCTGGGCTGGGCTGGGTGGGCTTCTGGACGGTTAGGTAGTTGGCAGTTAACGCTGTCCGAGCACTACCGCAGCCCCTCCCCTGCAGTATGTATCTAGGACGAGCAGCATTGTCCCGCGGCAGGCAGTTGCTGTTGTTGGTCTTGGATGCGGGGCTTTGATTCGTCCGACTCACATGCCTTCGCCTGGTCAGTTGATGAAAGCGGCATTGCTTGAAAGCGGTCCGTACGTACGGATATACATTCGGACAACAGCCCGGCCCGAAGATTCGAAGAAACCCTAAACCCTAAATGAGGCCACTCATCAGCCATGCCTATTTACATAATTGCACATTTTTGCAGCAAACACGCCCCGGGGGCAAACTACGTTGCAGGACGCATACATTCAAGACATCACACGAGCATGGCCGTGCAGATCAAACCCAACTCGATATCGACAAAAAAGAACACTGACGCCGGATGCAGCGGTCTATCAGCGTCTAAGTTGGCAACAACCGCTCACAAACACGTTCAAATATTTCTTCTGGAAGATCCTAATTGCTGTGATGAAACAACATTTTTTCATTATTCATTATATTACTATGAAAACTACTTTTACAGAAGCTACGCGAGTTCTGGTCTCTCGTGTGAACATCTGTTGAAGCAGGAAAAGAAAAGTGGAATTCGCAGGGAATAAGTCGCAGCTGTGCATCCGTCCCTCGAAACAAAAAAGCGACAATGTTCAATATTTGATTAACGCAAAGCAGTAATTTCTAACGCGGATGCGATGGCGCTGATGGAGCTGCATCAGATGACCACTCCACCGAGGTCGTGACCGTCTCGTTGGTTCGCGGGTTGCGGCCCGTCAAGACAATCTCAGTGGCGCCAAATTTGAGTTCACCCTGTCGTACAGCACGCGAAAACGTCAACATGCGGAAATAATTCACGTCGCCAAGGATTGTCACCTCGCTCGGAATAAATAAACCCGGACACCACCATGACACTACATAGCAAATAATGGCACGCAAAACGGTTTTCGGTATTCATAAAAGGGACGGTTATTACAGCGTAGTTACGAAAGCTGCAACATTAGCAACGTATTATTGAAGTAATAGTCCGTTCAAGGCGAATAGAAAATAAGAAGCCGCACTTTTAAGCCGAAAAAAAATACGTAGCAACCTAACTACCTACCTACCTACCTACCTACCCACCTACCTACCTACCTACCTGCTTACCCATCCACCTACCCATCCACCTAGCCTATCACGTACCTGCACGATGTAACCCCAGCTGCCCACACGCCGTACTTCCTCGCACTGCTCCCAGCCCATTGGGAGCTTCAATACAGCCCTACCCAAGTGCCGCATGCCCGGCTCCTTCAAGTACGACGCGTCACGGGAATGTGTGCCGTACAGTTCGAAGAATATGCTGTCCTGCGACCTGCAGCAGCAGCGGCAATAACCGCCTCACATTGTCGTTTGCTTTATATCCCTAGGGTATAATTTTATAATTATTATGATTATATAATTTATCATTATAAAGATGCGTAACAACAACAGCAACAACAACGACACTTTTTACATAACACACACACACACACGCACACACACGGAAATCCTGTTATGCCCCACGGCGACGGCCTGTGCGCGGCCCGCGCTAAACACCGTGTTTGGTGTACGAGAAAGTAGCACGTATACATGCAGCTAGTGTATGACCAACAGCCGTACGAGTGTCATACGAGCTTGCACGTACGAGTCCCGTACGAGCTTGCACACGTACGTACTTTTGCAGGGGAGCGAAATAGCGCTCGACGACCTCTTCTGGCTCCACTACTTGGCCTCGAAGCACGAAGGGTGCAAACACGTCATCTAAGAAACATCGTCAGGCCAGCAGCGGCGACATGATGCGGAATTTGCAGGTGGAGACAGGAGGCGGACAGGCAGAAACAGGCGGCAAGCAATAAGGTCGGGAATGATGCTCAGGTGGGTAGGCAGGTAGGTTGTATGTATGTGTGTATGTATGTAGGCAGATAGGAAGTTTTATTGGTTTTTATTAGGTTTGTGGAGAAGGTGGGTGAGACAAAGGCATGGGCTACGTGTGTTGTGAAGTAGTACGGCACAACACCGTTGCATGCGGGTGTTTGGATTCGGAGTTTTGGCGGACACGTGACCACTTACTTACCCTTACCAATCCGTACCCATGGCCGAGCGCATGCACGCCAGATATACATGCGTTAATACCAACCGGTTGCTAGGTACTGTCTGGACGTTATTCGCTTGATAACCCAAGTTTACGGTGTCAATCTGAAAGATATTTTTTTCTTATTGGCTTTAGCATCTTTTGTCGTCTATTATTAGCCAACCTGACCCGATAGTTCACCTATCGCCACCTATCTCGATTACAGCCACCTATCTATCGCCTAAAGCCGGTGCGACTTGCAGCCGAAGGCTTTAGTTAGCAACCTTTTACCGTCTAATTAATAGACAACATTATTTAGATGCACGATTTCCAGCCTTCTTTATATACAGAATTTGATGCTCAATAAGTCGTTACATGTACACGTGGTTTCGTACTGATTACGGATCGTGATCGTTATCGTGAGCGTTTAGCTCTATGTCAGCTCTAGTGTTGTCAACGGCTGATTTGGGCATTCGACTGCATGCTGGCCTCATGAGGCAGTAGTTCCTTTCCCGACATACATACGTAGGGAAGAGGTACGCGAACTGACTGTGTGTGTCTGACTGGTAAGGCTAAGCCAGTACGATAAGGCAAGCCAACTGATTTTTTTAAAACTGCTCACCGGCGAAATAGGACCCATCCTCGGTGTTGTGCGCCTGGTTTTGGTTGGCCGAAAAAAGCGGCGAGAAGGGAAAGGTTTTGGGAACTCATGTGTCTTGACATGGCCGATAACGTTCAGTCTTAACGTTCAGCATGTCGCATATGTACATGAATTTTATAATGTCCCCTTGACAAAAAAAGGGCGAAGGGAAATAAAGCGATGTATGTGTTCGAGAAGAAAACAGTTCCACCATCGAGCCATCGAGGTCACAGAGTCACATGTGTCACACGACACTTTCAAAACACCTGCACCGCAACAAAAATATCAGTTCGGATCCTCGAGGTCAGGCCGTGTAGTGTACGAACACAATACACACACAAATACACATTCTCGTACACGCACGCGCACCTTCTCCGGGTAGCCCCGAGCTGCCCGACTGGCCTCGTGCGCCTCTGACCACGGAGCTGTAGCAGCTATACCGTAACTCAGCCGTACGGCACGTGCTGAAACGCTGGAGGGATCCCGTCCGTACAGTACGGCACCTGCGTAGATAAATGCAAGCGCACGGCCGGCGGCGAGGGCAGCAACAATATTTCCAGATAATATTTTTCGAGTTAAGCGATTCTCACAGGCAAGCTTATGCTGCAAATTTCCTGGCTTCTCCTTCTCATGGAAGTTCAACGTTTCTCTCAAGTTCCGTTAAAAAGTTAGTTTGTGATTTCACGTTGCGCTGCCTTGCTTCTGCCAGCCGTACAGGTTCAAGGGAGGCATCCCGACGTTTTAATGCGCCGTTACATCATTAGTGTACGGAACTCTTATACTACCCAAGTACAGCCTATATGCGTGCGCACGTCCTCTCAAACCTCTACGTGCGCATGTCCATGCCATGCCAATACACCACCACCTCGGCAAGGAGATCTACACAAATTCGCACATACATACGCACATACCTTCCTACCTTCTACCGCTGGTACGGAGGAGCCTACCTACCTACCTACCCACGCACCTCCCGCACCCGTACGGCACACCCCTTCCGGGAGAATCTAGGTAGAGATAATTAAGATTTAATGATATTATAGATTTTTATTGTTGTTATATTAAAATATATTTATTTATAGGCTACCGCCCATCATAAGAAGGGATTTCTTCCGTGCCTTTTTCCCCCCTGCATTGATCGGCGCCAATCGCACCACCACTTTTAGCAGTAGGTAATAGCAGTAAGTAATGGCAGTGGCAGTAGCAGTGGCAGTAGCAGTAGCAGTGGCAGTAGCAGTGGCAGTGGCAGTGGCAGTGGCAGTAGCAGTGGCAGTGGCAGTGGCAGTGGCAGTAGCAGTGGCAGTAGCAGTGGCGGCAGCAGTGGCAGTAGCAGTGGCAGTGGCAGTAGCAGTGGCAGTAGCAGTGGCAGTAGCAGTAGCAGTGGCGGCAGCAGTGGCAGTAGCAGTGGCCAACGCACCGCACCTGTGAGCACGGCAGCCGCGGGATCCTTCGGCAGCAGCAACGGCAGCGATGGCTCCTCTGGCGGCGGCGCCGCCGCCGCCGCCGCCGCCGCCGTTGTTGTTGTTGTTGTTGTTGTTGTTGGTGGTGGTGGTGGTGGTGGTGGTGGTGGTGGTGGTCTTGGTGACCCTGGATAGTCCAGCACCTCCGAAGCGACCTCGGCCCGCACACGGCGTTGCAGGTACGGCGAGTCAGCGAAGCCTCCCGCCAGGAGTACCTTCGCACGCCAGACGTACGTACATACGCACGACAACCGCCCCAGCAGCAACAGCAGCCGCAGCAAAATCAAATCAATCGCAACCAGTAAAGCAACAACAAGCATACTTGATAATATCAAACGTTTATTCATCTCCAACGACTCAAGAGGTTGAGGTTTAGGGCGAGATTGGGGTTTGGTGTGAAGGAGCGGTGGTCAAATCGGCATTAAGCCGTCGTTCGGGGCTCACCTTCGTCGGGGGAAGACCGTTGCCGCGGCCCTCCTCCGCCACCCTCTTAGCCAGCCCCACGATCACGTCCACCACCGGACCGAATACGGACTGCTCAAGGAGGGCACCCGGCAGTACGAGCGCCGGAGGTACGGCAGAAGGCAGCAGCCACGGCAGACGCGTCCGCTGCCCCTGCACGCGACCAGGATTATTGACACCACCGGGGCCCACCAGGGTCACCAGGTCCGTCAGTGGCAGTAGTGGTAGTGGTAAGAGGTATAGAGGTATAGAGGTAGGGGTATAGAGGTAGAGGTGTAGAGGTAGGAGTAGCGGCATGGATAGATGACGGCGACAGCGACAGCGGCGGCGTCGGCGTCGGCAGCGGCGACGACGACGAGGAGGAGGGGGGGGGAGGAGAGGGGAGGGATGTCGCGTGGTTGTGGTGCCGCCTGGTGGCCTGATGTGGTCATCATCTTCGTTGTCCTCCTGACGCTGTGGCAGAAGCAGGGCCCTTTGCGATCCAGCTGCTGTACACGTACGGCAATCGTGCGGCAGTAGCGGCTAGCCGCCGTCAAAAAGACGAACATGGGTGACGTGTTCCACCTCGACGTGCAAAGGGGAGATGTACGGTGTACGGCAAGAATAAGGACTCCCTTTCATATTGCGTTGGTTTACATGGCCCTGAACGGACCGGACGCAACGAAGGTGAAGCAATAACGTTGCACTTGAATTTGCATGTCCCTGTTGACCTTGTGAGGTGAGTTAGGCTCTTAGGTACTACACCACTAGCCCGCGAGAACGCAACAGCTCCCCCCCCCCTTCCGTCCCACCATTCCTCAGGCCCTCATGTCCCCTACCCATTACCCATGCCCCTCTCGCCAACATCACTCACCTGGCGCGCTTGCGCTGGCAACAAATCTACAAGGCTCTGTGGTAACCGCAATAAAATGTCGTACTTGCCGTACATGTCATGCGGATCGTACTGCATGTCGGCTCCAAGTAGAGGTTGTACGACCCATTCGAGGCTGTCGTCATTGGGGTAACCGTCACCGTCATCCGCAGCGTCATGGATGTACGACGTCCCCTCCGTCTCCGCGGCCGTTTCGGGCGTCTCGTTCACGACCGTTTCGGGCGGCCCCGCGTCCCCATCGTCTTCCAGCGCCCCCTCTCCATCAGCCTCCGCGCCGCTACTGCCACGAACTTCGGCGCTTGTCGGCCGCCTCGCCGCCACTGCCGCTACAGCCGCAGACATCGCCGCCGGGCGGAGGAGGTCGGGCATCGGCGGCGGCGGCACTCCTAGGAAGGAGCGTTTTGCCTGCTCCCATCTGCAAGTGCCGTTTTACAAGGGTGGACGACAGCAATCTAAAGGTTGGGGTATGCCAGGATCAGGATCCAGATCTAGATCTAGAGGATGGATCCTAAAACATTATATCCAGGAAGGCATATTCCCGGAGATCCACTCACGTGTCACGCAGGTGGGTCCAATCCGCTGGGTGTTGCTCGACCCAGCTGTCCCAGGCGTCCGCACCCACCATCGCCGCACTCCGCAACACGGCCCATAGCGCGTCATCCACGAAACAGCCTCCCGCCAGAGCGCCTGCTGGCGTGAAAGCGGCAACGGGGATGAGGAAGAGGAGATAGAGGAGATAGAGGAAGAGGAGGAGGAGGAGGACGGGATTGTCATATTCTAAAAGTGCACGTGTCCTAGAAGGTGTTGTAAAACGCAAAACCCTAATTAAAAAAATACCGTCAGCCAGTTTCATTTTCATTCATAAAGGAGAATAATAAAAAAGGAAAGGAAAGAAAAAAGAAAGGAAAGGAATGACAGACCCGTAAAAGAGAAGTGACTTGAAAGATTTACCGTCGCCCACAGCCGCTTCTCGCAGCCGCACCCGGCCCCCGGTACTCGCAGGAGAGGTCCCGCCAGCGGTACTGGGCGGTACGGAAACTGTCTCCGCCGCCGCCGCCGCCGCCGCTGCAGCAGCGGCTGGCGCTTGCGGGGCCCCGGGCGCTTGCGGGGCCCCAGGCATTACGACTCGGTGCAACGTCACATCTGCCGTACCTCCGCCACAGTCCAACACCAGCAGTACATCGCCGCCGGTCAAACAAGGGGAGGATGAAGGCGACGATGCCGCCGCCGCCGTCGCCGCCGTTGCTTCCGTTGTCTGGTGGCTACTGACTTGCGGCTGCTGCTGCCAAGCACATGACCCGGCGGGGGACCCGGGTACGGCAGGTACGGCATCCGTCGCCGCCGCTGCCATTGTCGCGGAGAGGGCCGCCGCCTCAGGTTCGAGCGTCAGCAGCAAAGACGAGGCGTTAGTCGTACGGAAGTACCCTGCGTCGTATACATACGCACACACGCCTCCGCACGTCACAAGCCCTTGCAGAGAAAACCAACGAGGAATGTACTGCACGGACGTACAATTACAGCATACGACACCTATACACGTTAGGAGCCGCGAAATGCCGCGGATCCCTCGGGGTTCTACAACTGATCTCACATTCCGCTATATATACAAATATATACATCATTATATATACATACATATATACATATGTATATGTATTGTTGGAAAGTGACCGACACTTATATGTAACCCTACAGCCCACCCACCGTCGCGGCACTGACCTGCTCGTTGCGCTGCCTGGCGCATCTTATCTTTTGCGGCGTCACTCCACATGGCCGGAATGGTCAGGCACCAAACTACTTGGTCGGGGTGAAAGCCACCGCGACACAGACGTTGCCCCATCAGGTGGTTTAGAATGTACCTGTACGACGTACGAACATATAGATGTGCAGATATCCGTACATGCAAATATCCGCACATCCAGGGTGAAAGGTAAATGGAATTAGGAACTTATTTGTGTGTGTGTGGGGGGGGGGGGGGAATATGGACTGTGTGGGTTATATACGGTGGTGGTAACCGTCGAGAGAAGGGATGAGGCATGGGTGATGCACTTTCGCTCGCCGTACATTCCACGGCATGATTAACGTGGTGCTAAAGTGATGCGGCACATACACCGATACACTACAACATCGAACAGAGCTCTACAGCACTACAGAACGGACGCGTCATCTTCATGACGCAGATGTCGCCATTCTCTCGCCTGAACTCATCCAGCCATTAACCGTCCAACTAACCGTCCAACTAACTTGGAAGTCCACAAAAGGACGCGGTTGGCCCCCAACGCGCGCACCTGCGTACGGCAGCTAGGAAGTCCGTCACGACATGTACGGCAGTCAAACCAGGTGGCAGCGATGCACGCAGCGCCGACCGCAGCCTGTGGGGGGAATGGCCCAGCGCCGCCGCCGCCGCTGCCGGATCCGGATCCGCTGCCGTACAGCTGCTGCCGCCGCCGTGGCAGCCGTCGGGATCGCCGTCAGCATCACCACCATTAAGGTCCCTGTCGCCGCCGCTGTAGCTACTGCTGATTCCGGATTCAGAATCCTCCAGCAGTAGCAGCTTAAAACCCGTCAGATAGCTGTAGCCGCCCTCCGCCCGCTCCACACGGCTCATGGATGCCCAACGGCGCCACGCGGTCCAGCCCCAGGCCTCCTAGACAGGTACGTACATACATACATACATACATACATACATACATATATATATATATCGGCAGGCGGCTGGCAGAGGTTAAGGCCTGACTTCTGCTCCCAGTTGACCCAGTCGACCCGGGTTCAAATCCGCCTGCCGGCTCCTCGGGTGTTTGAGGAGTGATGAAATGGGAGGTGGCCCCCCATCTTATGGACGGTGTAGGACGTGATAATATCAACTTGCGAGCTGACCAGGAACTAAGTTGATGCGCCGTTGATCCGCTAGATTTGGTTGGATGCTGGTGGTGAGTTGCCGAACTCAACGAATACATTCTGAAGTCGGATGGGGTGACGGATTAGGGTGCCCCTCTAGCAGGGGAGAGCAGGGACTGCCCCGGGAAAGGGGGCCGCTGGCGAAGTTAACCACCCTGTAACAACATACATACATACATACATACGCACAAAGGCTTATCATGCATAGACACAAAAGCATGCTTTCACATTTGTAAGTACACAAAAAAGTTGCCGTACGTCGCACTCATGTGTTGTTGTTTCCGTTGGTTCCTGATTCGCTCAGTATTGTCGTACACGCCGCCTTGCACATTTTTTTCTTCTGTGCCTTTTTCCTGAAAGCCGGCCATTAGTTCCCCTTGAGACGTATAGACATACATATATACATACACACATGCATGCGTATATAAAATGACCCGTACATTTAGCACATCAATGTACGTCTGTATGCACGTACACACGCACCAAGTGCCTGCCTCTGTATAAAACGGCGGTCCGAGTTTTGGGGTCCGCAGTTGGCTGTTCGGGCCAGGAAAGATGCAGACGGACCCGCGGGTCGGTCCTAGAGCCACCTCCCCCGCTTTGGAGCTCGCAATACGCAAACCCAGTGGCATAGGTTCCGAAGTCTAAGCCCACGGCGATGTTGGGGTGAGGAGGGGTGATTGCGTAGGATACTGCGGATTCTGATGCCGGTGATGGCGGTGATGGCGGTGGCTGCGGCGGGGGAAAATGCCAGGAATCCGTGGAGACGGCGTCCTCCATGACCTGCCCGGGAAGTGACATTGCAAGGTCGAGGCGGAGGCACAGATGAAGAGGAAGACGAACGAGATATTGGGAACCGGATTTCACAATGAATGGCGCCGCGCGCATTTTTTCTGGGATGTTCCTGTTAACCATGTAGCAGTAGTAGCAGCAGTAACAGCAATAGCGGCGATAGCAAGCATTGGCAGTAGCAGTAGCAGTAGCAGCAGCAGGAATAGCAGCAGCAGGAATAGCAGCAGCACCACCGAGGACGAAGCTGCCATAACCGGCAGACGATAATAACCAGACCCCTGACCTGCACTCGCGCACATATTCCTAATAAAAATTAGTTAATCGAACAGATCAAGCTCACCATAAAAATCTGTTTTATAGTTGATATTATTTACGCTATGCGTTTGTGTGTTTATTATTTATGTATGTGTAGTAATAGGCTATATACGGAGAGCTGGGCGCGCTTAGATAGCCAGAGCTGCACCGTTGGCCGTGCTGCTGCGTTTTCTTGACGCACCCTCGGTGTTGGGTTCTACACTTTAAAGGGCCGTCCTGCAGATTTATCTATCTGTCTGATAGAGAAAGATACCGCGCACCAGTTTCCGTTTTAGCTGGTCTGAAGAACTGATATTCAAAGTGAAAGTGTGCTACCGGCTGTGCAGCCGCGACAGCTAAATAAAAAAACACGGCTTGCTTTACAAAAAAACGTCTTCACGGGTTCAGCAGCGCTGTTGGTTGCAGCGCGACGGGACCTTGTCCAACTGTCCATTGTCTGTCCTTGTAATCCAAGGTTCATTTCTCCATCCTGTTCAACTCTCAATCCTTGCCTCCGTGGATCATTTATCCATCAGCGAAGTGGTAGCGGTGAACAGGATTTGTCCAGAAAAAAATGCTCCAGCCGAGGTCCAATCATAAAAAAAGTTTTTATGTCTGGTCTGGGTTGACACTACTGCAATTAGCGGTTTAAGGTCCTGGGTTCGATTCCTGGGGAGACCCCCGAATTAGTCGGGAGCGCGAGATTATGGCTAGCTGCTGAGATGTGGAGTTGAGGTCACAGTTGATGGACCAGATTCGCACGCTGGATTGGTGGCGATTGCCGAACCCTTCGTCTCTTCGGGTGTTCGGGTGAATGGATGAGGAGGGGACCCTGAAGGCTGGATCCGCCGCCTTGGACTTACAGTTCGTATGGCGAAGTACAGTGTGGTAGTGGTGGATAGTGCTAAGGTGATAAATGATCTAGAACTGACAATGTGATAAAGCGGCCCAGAAGCCTCCCACTCTGTAACATTACATTACAAAAAAAAATAAAAAAAGTTTTTGTTTTAGTGAAGCCCGCTCGAAACGGTCGTCAACGGCGTAAGGATAAGAAGTAAGGTTTTGGTTTTTTAATAAGCATGATTTGCAAGTAGTGAATGACCACTGTTGTGTGCTCTGCGGCGCATCTACAGGAAGTATCAGCTGCAGCATCATCAGATACACCGCTACTCACAGTTAGTCTCTAGTGCAGTCATGCACGGCCCGCTAGCACGCTGGCTCTACTCTTCGTAAGCCTGGAGCCCACTGTAACAACCACACCATTACTTACAACAACAAGGTCCTCTTTTACAACAACAACAACGACGTCCTCGGTGCGTGCGGTGTTCGGTTTGAAGACCTCGCAACTCGCACACCACTTCCCAGCACACCCCGCCAACTCACCAACAAGCGGCCACACAACAGCGACGGTTGGTAGAAGTACAGTTCTTTCACATCCGAATGTTCGGCCCGCCCACCACCACACACACATACATACACTCATTGTGACTACCATTTCCACATCCAACCTGCCGACGTCCCCCACAGGCAGCATTCCGAACGCTCGCTTAACCTATCATGATAATCAAACAACAATAAAAAACAAAAATAAAATAACGAGCGTAAGAATGAACATGTGCACCAAATAGGGAGACGTAACTGCCTATAAGCAGGGCGACGCGATTTTTGAGACGGAACATGTGCTCATTGCACCCACACAGGGCGGCCATGCTCGTATCTTGACGTAAGCGACTTTCTCTTCTTGCGCGGCTGTACGGCAAGGGAATCATCGCATGTACGGCCAACAATACACACATTCACACACGGCCAAAGCCTATTGTCTTGTCATTCAGGCAGCAGCAACAGCAACTCTGCCACCATCACTATGACGAATCGTAACAGTGATCTGAGGACTTTGGTCGTAGTACTGTCGTTGGCCGCATCCGCCTTTTCCCCTCTCCCCCCTTTCCTTCCCTCTCATCATTATCATCTTCGTCTTCATCATCATCGTCATCGTTATCATCGTCATCGTCGTCATCGTGTTTTTTGTCTTAAATGCGCAGCAAGACGTTCCGAACCCACCTTTCCCGCGTTGCCAAACCCCCCACCCGCCACCCCCAGAACTCCACTTCCCCCTCCCCCTCCCCCTCCACCGCCAACATAGCCGTTACCGTTACCGTTACCGTTACCGTTGCCACCTGGCCCTAATGCCCCTACAAGCGCCGGAAGCGATGAGGAAACTCTCGGGCTTGTGGGGGAGTACGGATCTTGTACGGGAGCGCTCATGGGCAGTAACCCGCCACCGCCGCCACCGCCGCCTCGATGGTGGTGATGTTGGTGAGGATCGCCGCCCGCCGCTCGGTCCCGAAGGGCCCTATGTACGGCATGACAAATGGGACGAGGAGGAATCTGAGAGAAAAGACGATGGGCGGGAGACTGTATGCATGCATGCATGTGTGTATATGCTATTGTGTGTGTATGCGTTGGATTGCCTGACGGGTTTTACCGCCACTACAGGGCCCCATTCCAAAGTCCATGCTCCTCCTCCTGCTCCTGTTTTGCTGCTGTTGCTGCTGCTGCTGCTGTTGCTGCTGTTGCTGCTGCTGTTGCTGCTGCTGCTAATTCCTGGACCCTTCGCCGCCTTCCCCACCAAAGGTCATTACCTCCCCCCCCTCCCTACCGGCAGCCTTTCAGTATCAGCAATTCAGCCTTCTCTCCTGGCCAGCAACTTTACGCCACTTTTACGTCAGCACTATTTTACTCGCCGCCTTCACTACTATTTTTACACCTACTACTTTACGGATTGGCTATACTATTCAGCTTTTTATTTCTGGCGGCTTAGGTAGGTAGGAGTTCCAACATCTACGTCACTTCGTCATCCCGAGGTTACAGTCGTCACAGTCGCCACGGACGCCTTTCGGTCAGTTTTTACGTTTGCTACTATCTTGCCCTGGCAGCAGCTTCAATCGCGTGTGGTTCGTCTTTCCCCCCTCCCCCCTCCCCCGTCCCACTCCCCCCTCCCGCTCATCTCCCCCCTTGCTCTCACTTCCTCAGCGCCTCCAGCTCCTCGTGTACGGTAGCCACTCGAGCCCGAGGAGGGAGGCGGGTGAACAACGCCGCAGCATCCTCGGTGCCCTGCACACGCAGCACATGTTGGGGCAGGGGTTAATCAGCCTGGGGGGTTTAGGGTTTTAGGGTTTTAGTGTGTTCACGGGGTTTTTAGTGTTGCTTCTCCCAATGTCATGCCAAAGACCATCACCGCAAAAATAACGGAAACTATTACCATTCGTACGTCAACCGGGTTTATAATCCATCCTTCCTTCCCCGCCAAAACCAAGTAAACCACCACAACAAACACACACACACACCGCAACCCCCCCACCCCACGTACCTCCCCCACACACCGCACCCTCACACACCTCCCCCACACACCTTCAGTCTGGCCACCTCGGCAGCGCTAGCATCGACCTCGCGCTGGAGCCGCTCGATGGCCTGATCAGGCAACACATCGAAACAGGACAACAACGACAACACAACAACATGAAAATACGTGTCATAGGCAGGAGAAGCTGTGAGGGCCCCAAAACATTAACCGCTATCACAGAAATATGCCCAGCAGGCCGCAATGCCAGCTGCAGCAGCCAGCTGCGGCAGTAGGGGGATCATGTAAGACGTGGGGGGATCCCCTGTGTCTTATGGACGCCTTCCCTCTTTTCCCCCACACACTTGTACGGTATTCGTAACCCACGTAATCAACAGCCACCCTCCATTCCCGGTGAGCATCTATCTCCGTCCCGTGGGTCGGTCCACTCACAATGTCAATACTCAGGTTTGCTGCAATTCGGAGGTACACACATACAGATATACAGGTTTACACATGTGCATGCCGGGACCGACACAGAAGACCCCCGGCTCCCCTCCCCCCCCGCCCCCCTTTGTTCCCCCCTTGAGGGGAGAGGGGAGAGGGGAGAGGGGAGTATCCATCTATCCCTCCCTCCCGGGTATCAGCTTCACCCGTCTGTGGTGTTCATCTTCCTATCCCCCCCCCTTTCGCCCCCCCATCGACCCCCCATCCCATTCCCCACCTTCTCCAGCTGCTTCTGCACTGCGGCCGCATCGAGGCGGGCCCGCCGCAGGTCCTCATCTTTGCTGGCCAGCTGGGCCCGCAGAGCCGCCACCAGCCCCTCAGCAGCCGCACCTGTGCGCACGTGCTCCACCTTTCCGTCACTCAGCTGCGAGCGAGCTGTCTGCGGGGTAGAGGAGGGAGAGGGGGAGGGATCCGAACAAACGAACAAACGAACGAAAATTTATAAGGTCAAACAAAGAGCAGGACAAAGCTACTCTCAGCGTAACATGGCCACGTGTACGATAATTTTCAATGTCGTATCGATGTCGTACCACAGCACGACAAAGCACATGTATGAATGAAATTTAACAAAGTATGACAGAGCACAGCAGTAGTAAATAGCAAAGCACAGCATAGTAAAGAATAGCACAATCTAACACAGGGCCAAATCGATATGTAACACACACACACACACACACATACACACACACACACACATACACACACACGCACACAATCCGTCCCTCTCCGGCCCCACCTCCAGTTCCTTAGTCAGCGAGGAGATCCGCGCCCGCGCCTCCAAGAGCTCACGCTGCCAGCCGTCCGACAGAGCTCGAGCGAGAGCCGCCTCCCGGCCCGCCTCCTCCAGTTGGGCCTATCATGTACGACATGTACGACGTCAAGGGGGAAAAGGTGGATGGGCGATGGGTACACAAAAGGTCGCCGTAGCTCATATGTTATGAGCGGAGGCCTATGCCGAGTTCGATGTCCGGTTGTCCGGAGCGTTTTGGAAATTCCGGGTCGGGAGCGTGCCGTACGCGCTTAAGACCGCGCCAAAAAGAATGGGAGGTCGCCGGTTCGATCCCGAGCAAAGTAATGTTTTATGTTTCATATTTGCATTTTTGCATATATGCATATGTGCGATATTATGTAATGTAATATGCGATATGCAGCGATATGCGATATGCAATGATATGCGATATGTATGCAACGATGTGTGTGCTATGCGATATGCAGCGTTGTGCGATATGTATGTGTATGCAGCGATATGCCATATGTATGCAGCGATATGCGATATGTATGCAGCGATATGCGATATGTATGTGTATGCAGCGATATGCGTTATGTATGCAGCGATATGCAATATGCAGCGATATGTGATATGCAGCGATATGCGATATGCAGCGATATGTGATATGCTGTGATATGCGATATGCGATATGCGATATGTGGTATGCAATATGCAATATGCATTATGCAAGGTGCAATATGTTTTAATGTTATATATATGCGATATCATATGCAAGCTTATGAGACCTGCAAGCATATGCGATCTCATATGCAAGCATATGCGATCTGCAAGCATATGTGATCTCATATGCAAGCATTTGCGATCTACAAGCATATGCGATCTGCAAGCATATGCGATCTGCAAGCATATGCCATATGCGATCTGCAAGCATATGCTATGCTATGCTATGCTATGCTGTGCTATGCTATGCTATGCTATGCTATCTGCAAGCATATGCAGTATGCAAGCATATGTGATCTGCAAGCATATGCGATGTGCAAGCATATGCGATCTGCAAGCATATGCAATGTGCAAGCATATACACTCTGCAAGCATTTGTGATCTGCAAGCGTATGCGGTGTGCAAGCATATGCGCTCTGCAAGCATATGGGATGTGCAAGCGTATGCGATCTGCAAGCATATGTGATCTGCAAGCATATGCGATCTGCAAGCATATGCGATGTGCAAGCATATGCACTCTGCAAGCATATGTGATCTGCAAGCATATGCGATGTGCAAGCATATGCAATCTGCAAGCATATGCGCTCTGCAAGCATATGGGATATGCAAGCGTATGCGATCTGCAAGCATGTGCGATGTGCAAGCATATGCGATGTGCAAGCATATGTGCTCTGCAAGCATATGTGATCCGCAAGCATATGCGATCTGCAAGCATATGCGATGTGCAAGCATATGCGTTCAGTAACAAAAACAAGAAAGCATGAAAACATGGAAACGTGAAAACCATCGCAGGACTCGAACCTGCTGTCCAGCAAGTGCTATGCTATGCTATGCTATGCTGCGCTATGCTATGATATGCTATGCTATGCTGCGCTATGCTATGCTATGCTGCGCTATGCTATGATATGATATGCTATGCTGCGCTATGTTATGCTATGCTATGCTGAGCTATGCTATGCTATGCTGCGCTGCGCTATGCTATGCTATGCTATGCTATGCGCCTCGTTGCTATGCTATGCTATATGCTATGCTATATGCTATGCTATATGCTATGCTATATGCTATGCGATATGTATGTGTATGCAGCGATATGCCATATGTATGCAGCGATATGCGATATGTATGCAGCGATATGCGATATGTATGTGTATGCAGCGATATGCGTTAAGTATGCAGCGATATGCAATATGCAGCGATATGTGATATGCAGCGATATGCGATATGCAGCGATATGTGATATGCTGTGATATGCGATATGCGATATGTGGTATGCAATATGCAATATGCATTATGCAAGGTGCAATATGTTTTAATGTTATATATATGCGATCTCATATGCAAGCTTATGAGACCTGCAAGCATATGCGATCTCATATTCAAGCATATGCAATCTGCAAGCATATGCGATCTCATATGCAAGCATTTGCGATCTACAAGCATATGCGATCTGCAAGCATATGCGATCTGCAAGCATATGCCATATGCGATCTGCAAGCATATGCCACATGCGATCTGCAAGCATATGCTATGCTATGCTATGCTATGCTATGCTGTGCTATGCTATGCTATGCTATGCTATCTGCAAGCATATGCAGTATGCAAGCATATGTGATCTGCAAGCATATGCGATGTGCAAGCATATGCAATCTGCAAGCATATGCGCTCTGCAAGCATATGGGATATGCAAGCGTATGCGATCTGCAAGCATGTGCGATGTGCAAGCATATGCAGCATAGCGCAGCGCAGCATAGCATAGCATAGCGCAGCATAGCATAGCATAACATAGCGCAGCATAGCATATCATAGCATAGCATAGAGCAGCATAGCATAGCATAGCGCAGCATAGCATAGCATACCATAGCATAGCGCAGCATAGCATAGCATAGCATAGCACTTGCTGGACAGCAGGTTCGAGTCCTGCGATGGTTTTCACGTTTCCATGTTTTCATGCTTTCTTGTTTTTGTTACTGAACGCATATGCTTGCACATCGCATATGCTTGCAGATCGCATATGCTTGCGGATCACATATGCTTGCAGAGCACATATGCTTGCACATGTGCTATGCTATGCTATGCTATGCTATGCTATGCTATGCTATGCTATGCGCCTCGTTGCTATGCTATGCTATGCTACGCTATACTATGCTATGCTATGCTATGCTATGCTATGCTATGCTATGCTATGCTATGCTATGCTATGCTACGCTATGCTACGCTATGCTACGCTATGCTATGCTATGCTATGCATTTGCCGTCCGCAAGCATATGCGATCTGCAAGCATATGCCATATGCAGCGATATGCGATATGCGATATGCGATATGCAATATGTTATGTATATGCGCATGCATCTGCATTATGCAAGCATACGCAGTCTGCAAGCATATGCGATTTGCAAGCATATGCAATCTGCAAGCATATGCCATATGCGATCTGCAAGCATATGCGATCTGCAAGCATATGCCATGTGCGATCTGCAAGCATATGCAATCTGCAAGCATATGCCATATGCGATCTGCAAGCATATGCCATTATGCGATCTGCAAGCATATGCCATTATACGATCTGCAAGCATATGCCATTATGCGATCTGCAAGCATATGCCATTATGCGATCTGCAAGCATATGCCATATGCAAGCATATGCCATATGCGATCTGCAAGCATATGCCATTATGCGATCTGCAAGCATTTGCGATCTGCAAGCATATGCCATATGCGATCTGCAAGCATATGCCATTATGCGATCTGCAAGCATATGCCATTATGCAATCTGCAAGCATATGCCATTATGCGATCTGCAAGCATATGCCATTATGCGATCTGCAAGCATATGCCATATGCGATCTGCAAGCATATGCCATATGCGATCTGCAAGCACATGCCATATGCGATCTGCAAGCATATGCCATATGCGATCTGCAAGCATATGCCATATGCGATCTGCAAGCATATGCCATATGCGATCTGCAAGCATATGCGATCTGCAAGCATATGCCATATGCGATCTGCAAGCATATGCGATCTGCAAGCATATGCCATTATGCGATCTGCAAGCATATGCGATGTGCAAGCATATGCGATCTGCAAGCATATGCGATCTGCAAGCATATGCGATCTGCAAGCATATGCGATCTGCAAGCATATGCCATTATGCGATCTGCAAGCATCTGCGATCTGCAAGCATATGCGATCTGCAAGCATATGCGATCTGCAAGCATATGCCATATGCAATCAGATGCGATCTGCAAGCACATGCCATATGCTAGCATACGCAATATGCAATATGCAAGGACATTGCAGATGCAAACATGGGCAATATGCAATATGCAAGGATATTGCATATGTGCAAGTATGCGCAATATGCAATATGCAATATGCAAGAATATTCATATGCAAGCATTTGCAATATGCACCCGGATGCACCCGAACGTGTCCGGACCCGAACGAGAGCTACGGCACCCTCGGGACCGCAGGGACCGCGCCTCGTTACTCTCCGCCTCCGCCTCCTCTCACATGCACACAGGCAGCAGCCCGGGGCAAGTATCAGGCCTCTGAGGTTCAGACACTTGTGTAACCTTGACACACAGAGAGCAGGGGATCGATACCCATGCGGGTCAGCATCCTCGGTGAGACGTGTCAACACATGTCCATGACACCGTCCTAGGGGGGCCCCCTCAGGCTTTTACGGATACAGCCCTGCACGTGTGTGTGTGTATGTGTGTGTGTGTGAGTGCGAGTGTGTGTGTATGTGTGTGAGAGTGAGTGCGCGTGTGTGTGTGCAGAGAGAACTTGTAACTTCTAACTTGTATAAACCCAACACACACACGGTCGAGTCAAACACAGATCTTCCCTTTCCTTCCCCTCCCCTCCTCTTTCCCCACCTTCCCCTCCTCCCCTACCTCACCGTCAATGTACATGCCGCAAACACACACGTTCCATCCACATCAAGCTTCCAAAGAACCACATATAGGAGTAGCAGCAGCTTGCAAACATACGTACATACATAAAAACACACGCACACCTGCAGCCGAGCCTTCTCCCCCGCCGCCGCCTCCCTAGTCGCCGCTTCCGCCAGCGCTCTCTCCTTGTCCCTCTGGGCCCACTCCAGCCGCATACTTTGGATCTCCGCCTGGCATGTACGGTAAAAGAATGACAAGTACGACAGTAAAATGGTGAAGTGGCATGTACGGTAAAAGAGTTGCAAGCATGGCTTCCCCAGCGTGGCTCAACCTCAGAAAAGTCAGCAAAAAAATCCAAATCCAAATCCAAATTCAAATTCACCTGCATCTTTGCGACGGTTGCCCGTTGGTCGTCTCTTGCGGTGGTTGCGGCAGTTCGTTCCCCGTGACACAACGACAACTGCTTTTGGAGGTCCTTGAGCTGTCGGTTGGGGAGTTAGGGTCCCAAAAGGTGGGGGGGGGGGGAAATCCAGGGGGAAAAGCTGGAGACGAGATGGAGAGGTGGGGAAATGGTGGGGATAGACAGACATATAGACAGACAGGCCTATAGACAGGCAGAGACAGGCATTAGTTGTATTTGCTCGCGCGTTTTGTTCCTCAGTCCTCCTTTTTCCACGCTGGTTTGGGTGCCGTACATTAGCGATTTGTCTCCTAATGGCGTCGTCCCAGGTACACTCCAACCCTGGTTAAGCAGCCTTCACATCAAATAACCTCATCACCACACACATACATACATACATACATACGTACACACATACCTCGCCCCCCTCACCTGCAGCTGTAGCAGTCCATTGGCCCGCTTCTGGTTATCTAGCTCCACATCCCGACCCGCTAACCGGTCCTGAGAGGTAAAGGAGTTTCAGGGGGTTTAGGGTTTAGGGTTTTAGGGTTTAGGGTTTAGGGGTTAAGGGGGTTTATGGGATGTCTAGAGAGACAAGGAGGAGGGAAAAGGAAATCATACGGGGCTTTGGAGGGAGAAAAAACACAGACACACACCACTCTCCTCCCGCTCCTCCTCTTCCTCCCCACGCTCCTCTCGATCCTCCTCGTCATTATCCTCAGTCTCCTCTTCCTCCCCCTCCCGTTCCTCCTCCTCCTCCCCCTCCCGTTCCTCCTCCCCCTCCCGTTCCTCCTCCTCCTCCCCCTCCCGTTCCTCCTCCTCCTCCCGTTCCTCCTCCTCCTCCCCCTCCCGTTCCTCCTCCTCCTCCCCCTCCCGTTCCTCCTCCTCCTCCCCCTCCCATTCCTCCTCCCCCTCCCGTTCCTCCTCCTCCTCCCCCTCCCGTTCCTCCTCCTCCTCCCCCTCCCGTTCCTCCTCCTCCTCCCCCTCCCGTTCCTCCTCCCCCTCCCGTTCCTCCTCCTCCTCCCCCTCCCGTTCCTCCTCCTCCTCCCCCTCCCGTTCCTCCTCCCCCTCCCGTTCCTCCCCCTCCCGTTCCTCCCCCTCCCGTTCCTCCCCCTCCCGTTCCTCCCCCTCCCGTTCCTCCCCCTCCCGTTCCTCCTCCGCCGCCGCCTCCGCACCTCCCTGGACCGCAGATCCGCCTTCAGCAGCGCCTCCCTCTTGTCCGCCTCGGCAGCCCGAGCCGCCGCCTCGGCTCGCGTGCGGCTGTGAGCCTCCTGTTCCTCATGAAGCTTGTCGGCCTCAACCTGCGGTTTAGGACGTTTTCGGATTAGGGTTACCATGGGGACTTGGTCCTTGGAAACTCCAGAGAACAGATTTTTTAAAGGAATTCTTAGACGTTTTTTGTTTTTTCGTTCATATCAGCGGTTTTCCTTGTTATGAAGTACCTTTGTTTATAACGCATTACGGCTCGGGACACGTAAGAAAATAAGGCGTTACTAAGGGAAAATTTAGCGACGTGACCGAAGAGATTAACTTGGCCATACTTGTCAACTTGAAAATAAGGACAGAACGGGATAGAGGGGTCGATTCCCGTACCGTACGGTACAGCGCCGTACCGTCGTACCTTTTTCAGTACGTCTTGCCATTCCCGCAATCTGGACATTTCCTTCGAAGTTCTGTCTAGCTCAGCAGCTAACCGAGAGCACTCCTCACTGAGCCGACCCACTTCCCTCTCGTAATGCAATCTGGTGCATCCGGTGGTAATCGCGTCAAAAGGTAGTTGGCGGTTGGTAGTTAGTGGTTGGTGGGGGATATTCACTAGCTGATGGCTATACCACGTGGACGGGGAGGTCATGGGGTGGTGATGGAAGGGACGAAGTGGGTGTGCGGGCGGAGAGGAAATCAGGCTCGGGATTAACAATGTTTAAAAGAATATGGAAAACAGCGCTGATTGTGCTGTTGTGTTGACCTAAACATGTACAACATTCTAGACAAGAATGCAAATGCATGCATGGCCTAGAAGCCACCAACTCTGTGTAACACTCCGAAAATACAAAATATACACCTGTAAATAAAACGGAAAGGAAAAATAAAAATAAAAATAAAATAAAGTGAGGTAAAAGATAAAATAAAAAAAATAACTAGGCAAGCCTCTGAGGTCCCGTCAGCCATCTTCCATGCGCTCACTTTTCGCTGCGCACATGTCCCAGAGCGCCCTGTGCCGCCGCCGCCGCCTCCTGCGCCGCGGTCAGTTGCTGTTTCATGCCCTCCACTGCCGCCCTGGCCTGGCCCGCCTGCTGCCGCAGGTGCCCCGCATCCGCCCTTCGCGCTGCCAGCTCCTCTTTTAAGGACGTCATAGAGGCCGATTGCTCTGAAGCCGCGGACTGTGCGAGTGAGTGTGCGGGGAAGGGGAAGGGGGTAAATCACGCGCAAAAGGCAAAAAGGGACGGGGGGTTAAGCGAGGAGCGTAGTGAGGGTAAAAACACACACGGGCCGAAGCCGCGGTGGAGAGTGGGGAGGGGGATATAGAGATGAGGGCAGAACGTGGGGGTTTCATGGTACGGAAAGTAAGGAGGGAAGAAGCGTGTTGGCAGCTCACGTTGGCGAACAGGCGGACGGGCGAAGTCGTCGACCACCCTAAACTCTTAAGTCTTTCCACCCCACCCCACAGCGACCCACCCCCACCCGCATCTCCCGCATCTCCTCCTGAAGCTGTTCCAGATCTTTTCGGGCCCTATCCAGCTCCGATGCCGTATCCGCTCTTTGCTTCTCTACCGCCCACAACTCCTGACGAACCTGTAGTAGCAGCAGTAGCAGTAGCAGCAGCAGTAGCAGCAGTAGCAGCAGTTTGACGCAAAACAAGCAACAGTAGCAGCAGTTTGACGCAAAACAACAAAAACATAGATAATTAGCCGAGAAGAAAACCAACATTCCCACTTGACTTCACAAACAACAACTTGCTCTGTCTCTCCATCGCTCACCTGTGCCGCATCCTTCTTCGCATTTCCCAGTGCCTCACTCGCCTCCCGCAACTCCCGCTGCGCACCACTCAGCTGGTTTTGGAGCTCATCCCGACGGCTACAAGCCGAGCTGAGGGACTCACGCAGCGCCGCCGTCTCCACCGCTGCATCCTCCAGCTGGCTCTGCGGGAGGGGTGGCAGGGAGGGAGCAAGGAGGGAGCAGGGTTAGAGGGCTCCGGAGCCGTACGACCCCGTACGTATTTGTACTGTGTATCTCTGTACGGTACTGTACTTTGCGTATCTGTATCTCCTTCACTCCTTTTTTCCTTTCTTTTTCCCTCCCTCTCCTCCTTTTCTAGTCTCTTCTCGCTTCCCCCCTCTATTTTCCTCTTAATTTCCTAAATTGTTTATTATTACCATCTGATTTTCTTCGTCAGGACATCGCAACCGTCCACAAACCCTTTAACTAACCCCCCATCCATCCAACCGCCAACCACCCAGCTCTCGCACCCGAAAGGACTTGCTCGCCGCTTCAAGTCGGTTGGTAGTTTGTGCAACCATGTCCGTTAGGAAATCCAGATCATCAACCGATTGGGAGACCCCGGGCCAGGAGAGTGCCGTCCCGTCCAAGATGGCCAGTACCTACGTTGTTGGTTGGTGGTTGGTGGTTGAGGTAGCAATGCGCAGCATGGCCCTTCTTGGGCGGGAAAAACACGTGAACACGTTGCGTACAATATACGGCAAGATTACTTAAAACGTGACTGCCAGATGATAGATGAAAGCAGTGTTTTTTTCGTCAGGCGCCAATATGGCCATATGATGCATCCACATATGCACACATGCACACATGCATACATGCACACATGCACCATCACCATTAAACAAGAAGCACCCACTCCTAGATGAAGAGATGGAGCACAGCAATGCCGCGGTCAGACTTTCCTAGACTCAGTCGTACAGCTCATGTCGTACTGCCGACGCGCCGTACCTGTAGCTGCTCCCTGACCGCTTGCAGCCCTGACTTGAGCGCCTCCGTCAGCTGCTTTGCGCTGTACATCCGCTCACTTGGTGCAGAACCTGGCGGCGGCGGCGGAGGATGAGGAGGTGGCGGTGGCGGCGACGCTGGCAGCTCGGCAGCTGCGGCGGCGGCAGTGGTGACGCAGGAGGGCGACGGGGGTTGGGGCTCTGCGCTGGAGAAGGTGGCTCGGACGAAGGCAGCCTCCCCTTCCGCCGCTGCTGGGAAACCAGATGGGACTTTGTGTCCCCCGGTGCTGGCGGAAGAGGAGGTCGTCAAGTTGGCACCGCCAGCGCTCCTTGTGCCGATAATGACGCTTTTGTTAATAGCCGTAGGAGACGCTGCGCTGCCTCCTCCGCCCCCAACGGCGCCGCCGCTGCTCTGTCCGGCCATGGATGGCATGCGCTAGGAGGTGTGCCGTGGCAGCCCGGGGCCGGCACCCAGGCAGGCACAGACCCGGACCCGGAAGATCAAAAAGCTGACTAGGTATGGGCGAATATTTGTAGGCGGTTTACATCGTTTACCGGAATCTGGGCCATTACAGTTGACCTCTATCTAAAAGCCTACAGTACAGCTTATATCAGTCAGGTATTGTGAGCAAGAATATGAAGCAATATGCAGACTCGATCGTAGAAGTTGTTTCCTTGTGGGTTGAGCAGGAGTCTAAGGGTTTGTTGACGGGCGCTTCAACGTGAAGGAAACCAAATGCAGCTGGCAATATATTTACATATCAGTCCGATTAATCCGATTACAATGTGCAGTAAACCAATGTAACGTCTACGGAAAGGCACCCGTGGAAAGGCTCCGGCTGCGTCTACTTATCACGAAAGCGGAAGCTATATGCGTGTCAGATGGCTTGCATTTCCTACGGATTCAAGAGCGAAGGGAGAAGATATCTTTGGAGTGGATGACACATGTTTCGATGGTATCCGTACATAGCGACTTTTACAACGCACAACGCTCATTGCAGGTACTCTTGAATGCGAGATAATCTGCGAGGCCGCTATGGGCAGGTTCATATCCCTTTTAGCTATTTAAAGTGCATACAACACCGGAAAACGTGAGGCTGTGTTTTTAACGGGTGGCTTGTTCCGTTGGATTACACACCTGGGGGAGCAAGAAGTATCCGAGGAGTGCGCTGGATAAGTTTGACAATGCCCTGTTACGCTCTGAAATTGTCAACAAGCCGCCATCACAGAGGTCGACCTGTGGAAGCTTCCTTGGGCTTACATGTAAGCGCCTCGTTTTCGCCGCATTCCAAACGTTTAACGATTGCAAAAGTGTTGATGAAGATATAAGTAGAATCTGGTGGCTCAGTCGTCGGTTTGTCCATAACCCTGCGCCAGATGTCCGCCTCCTCAAAAGTCCCGCAAGCCCGACACCAAGTAAAATGACTTACTACAAATGAAGTACATTTCCCAAGCGAAAGTATGACAAAAGTTTTGTCAACATCTCTCCCCCATGAGTCGCTGCGACTTTCCTTGGCGACACCTACCCAGATTCCCCCCAGCCTCCAGCCGATTTCATCTGCCCTTGATGATGCGTGCCCGCGCATCAAAAGAAAAGCATCACAAAGCGCATAACTTTATTTGATTTTCTTTTATGATGTTCACAACAGGGCTATTCAAGGATGTGCGCCAGGCGCCTCCCCCAACACCGTCCACCGACACTTCCCCTTGGACCTCTTCTTCGCGACATTGCCCTCCGCGCTTCTGGGGGGACTTCTGAGCCTCGTTCTCATTCTATGGAATGCACTGTTATTCGCGATGGCGGCGGCGGCGGCAGCGGCGGCGGCGCTGCAACTGACACAACCAGCCTGCAGCCGCCAGTCCTGCCGCTGTCCCCCCAAGTACGACCGTCTGTGTACGGCAGCGTCTTCCGTACACCACCTTCGTTCCTCCAGCCGCTGCTGAACGCCGTTGTCGCGGTCAGCACCGGTCGATTGTCGTCGTTGCCGGCGGCGGCTGTCGCCTGGCTGTTGAGGGCCTTATTATCACTGGGGCATATGCCGCCGACGGCCTGGATCCAGGAGGCGTACGACAGCTTGGCGGCTGGAGCGAGGGAGCTGCATCCGAGTCAAGCGGCTAATGCGTACCTGGTATGTCGTGTCGTACCTGTGTGTTCGCTCGTACGGCTATGCTGAAGGATCGCTTGCTCCGCCGTGAGCTTTACAACGCCGGCCTTTTATGCAAATCTTGACCTCTCTTGCCGCCTTCTGTTCGGCCACTATCGTCTCTTGACATGCTGAGTATTAGCATGTCTTGACATCCGCCCCGTAATTGTTTTCCGTACTCTTGGCCTGCCGTACTGTCGTACATTCAGGCGATTGCGGGCCTCGCCATTGTCAGCCGTACGGCCCGCACAGGCGGCGGCAACAGCAGAGCTGATGATGCGAAAGATGCCGCCGAGCTGGCAGTATCGGCGTCGCCGCCGCCGCCGCCGCCGCCCAGTGCGCTGCTGACGGGGTTGTACGAGGCCCTGGCTCGTCCAGGCCCCTTCGGAGTTATGGACCCACGGGTCGCTCTTGCCTGCCTGGAGGCCGCCGCCGCCGTCGAGTCTGCCGTTACAGTCCATACTGTAGCATCTCACTCTGCTACTGCTATTGCTACTGCTACGACCACTGCACCAAGTGCGGCTGTTATGCGCTCCGGCGGCATCGGCATCGGCAGCGGCGGCGGCGATTTGATGGTCGTACAGCACACTCCGCCGGCTTCGGACAGCCAACAGCAGCAGCAGCAACAACACGGGCAGCTGCGGGCGCAGCGCGGCTGGCGTCTCTGCCCTGCCATGCCGCAGGCGCTGGCGGAGGCGCTCATACGACGGGCAGCTGGGATACAGCCGTCGGCGGCGGCGGCACCGCTGCTAGATGAAACGACAGGCAGGATGGGCGCGGTGCCTGAGGCGGATGCTACAGCCGCCGCCGCGGCGGCGGCTGTAGCTCCAACTGGGGGAGCTCATTTGGCAGCGGCGTCAGCGGCGGCGGCGACGCCGACGGCGACCACTGTCGTCAGCCCAGCATTGGTAGTCGCTGCAGCTCGTGCGCTGGTGGCGGCAGCACGCCTTGAAAACCCTCCACGGCCCACCGCCGTACTGGACCTGGCGGTGATCATCTCGTCCAGCAGCAGCTGCGATGGCGGCGTGGCGTTTCGCGGCGGCGGAGGCGGCGGTGGCGGCGGCGTTGACGGCGGCGGAGGCGAATCAACAACTATGTTGCTGCACTCGCTATCCGCACTCTATGCACTGACGGAGTCGTCGGCGCCGCTGCCGCCGCCGATAGTTGCGGCGCTCATTAGCGGAGTGGAAGGCCACCTGCCGTACCTAGATGCCGTACAGATATCATACTGTGTCACTGTCGTACAGCGGCTGGCGGCGATGCAGTCGTCGGCCGGCTCTGCTGCCGCGGACTTGGTGCTGCGCTTCGCGCGCGGCCCCGCTGCAGCGGAGCTTGCGCGCAAGCTGCCGACGTTGCCGCCAGCGCGCCTGGCGGCGGCGGTGGCGGCGCTGCCGCCACCGCTGCGGCAGCCGCCGCCGGCGGAGGTGGCGGCAGCGGCGCATGAGGCGCTGCGGCGCACGCTGGCGGCTGCAGACAGCGACGACTTGGCGGAGGTCCTCCGTCAGCTCAGCGCCGCAGACGCATTGCCGTACTATGGCTGGCAGGGCGCGCTGGCGGCGGCGACGAGCCAGCGGCTACGTGACGCCGCCGCGCTCATATCCTCGCAGGAGTTGTGTAACACGCTTTTCGTTCTGGCGGCTCTCAATTACAGGCCCGGCTTTAGCTGGACCGCCGCCGCCGCGGCGGCGCTACAGCCTCGACTGTTGTCATTGACGGCGCCGCAACTAACCAACGCACTCTGGACGCTTGCCAAGTTTGGCTACCGCCCTGAGCCCTCCTGGAGCACCCCTGCCGTACAGGCGCTACAGCTGCAGCTGCCGGCGCTACGGCCGCACCAGCTAAGCTACGGCCTGGGGTCGCTGCAGCGCATGGGTTGCACCGTCAGTGCTGCCGTACTGGACGAGATGCTGACGGTGGCCGCGGCGGATCAGCTACGGCAGTATCCGCCGGGGGATTTGGTGCTACTGCTGATGACGGTGGCGAGGTTGCGCCATGTGCCCAGCTACAGCTTTACAGAAGCCGTGACGGAGCGGCTACGGCCGCACCTGACGGCATCGCCGGCGATGACAGCGGCGGCGTCGGCAGGCCTTGTTGAGCCGTTGGCGGCGGCAGCTGGTAACTCGGCGGTGGTGGCGGCGGCGCCGCCGCCGCCACCGCTGACGTGTCAAGAACTGGCCTCCGTCGGCTATGCGCTGGCGAAACTGCATTGCCGTCCCGAAGTGAGAGGGGAGGGGGAGATACGGGGAGTACGGCAATGTGACAAAGGAAAGGGGACGCGTTTTGTCGTACCGCGTACGGTAAATGTGTACTGCAGTAGCATGGCGCCGTCAAGTTCTCATTCGCCATTCGGTCCATCTTGTTGCTGTCACCGTTGCAGCGACGACCGAGCGCTTGGATCCATCGCTTAATCCATCCATCCTGTCATCCAGCTTTTTCCTTCTGTCCGTCCCTCTCTCCCTCCCTCTCCCCCTCTCCCCCTCCCTCTGGGCAAAATAATGGCATTTGGTGTTTTACCCCCCCTTCCCTCCCTCATCCCCTCTCCCTCCCCCCCTCCCTCCCTCTCCCCATTTCCCGTTCTCTCCCTACCTCTGTCGCGTGTGTGTGCGTGTGTGTTTTGCTCTCCTTGCAACCCCAAACATTTCCCCCCGCCCCTCCCCGCTCTCCTTCCCTCTCCTCTCCTCCCCTCCCCTCCCCCTCGGACCCCGGACACCGGCAGTTCACTTCCCACGTACCCACGCTCCCGCTTGTGAATTCCCCCCCGCCCGCCCGGCCCCCCAAACAAACAAACAAACAAACAAACAGGCCGACTGGATGTCCGCCTTCATGGACTGTTGCCTGGCGGTTATGTACGACTTTACAACCGACCTTTTGGCGTCATTGATGTGGGCGCTAGGGGAGCTGGGGCAGGTGGGTAGTTGGTAGTTTGGGCCTCATGTGTGTACGGATGGATGGGTTATTGCGTGGAGGATGAGGGGGCCTTATATTGGCCGTTTGTCTGTCGGTCTGTTTGTGTGCGATCTTTGGCCACAACTTTGGACCTTGTGTTGCTGACTGGGCCAGTTGGTCCTACGAACTTCGATCGCAGTTGATCACAGTTGGGATTTGCAGACACAAAGACTGGACAAAATGTTGAACGTACACAAACGCAAACCCACACATTCAATTTTCCCTGTATTTTGTATGTATGTATGTTGTTACAGGGTGGTTAACTTCGCCAGCGGCCCCCTTTCCCGGGGCAGTCCCTGCTCTCCCCTGCTAGAGGGGCACCCTAATCCGTCACCCCATCCGACTTCAGAATGTATTCGTTGGGTTCGGCAACTCACCACCAGCATCCAACCAAATCTAGCGGATCAACGGCGCCTCAACTTAGTTCCTGGTTAGCTCGCAAGTTGATATTATCACGTCCTGTATGTATGTATGTATGTATGTATGTATGTATGTATGTATGTATGTATGTATGTGCGTTTACTCTCCTTCCAGGTCCCCAGCCCAGCTTGGATGGGCGCCTTCCTGGCTGCGTCGCGACCCCGGCTGGGCGAATTTGCAGCCCAAGATTTGGTTTCGGTGCTGTCAAGTTTGGCGGCGCTCCGTTCACCTCCCCCGGCGGATTGGCTGAGTGAGGCGCTGACGGTGCTCGGGGCGCGAGTGGGCGAGCTGGACGGCGAGGGAGTGACGGCGTTGCTCAAGGTACGACTGTACCGCAGTACGACATGCTGGGTACGCGAGTAAATGAAGGTTGTAGGGGCCAGCTAGGCTGAGCTGGCTGGGGTCCGTTTAGGAATAGAGATTTACGTTGTTTCAGGACTTGGTTTTTAGCGGTTTTAGAGTATGCGCCAGGAGTTTGTGAGACGCAGAACGAGGGAACGGTCTGTAGCGCCTTCTTAGGTCCTGTGGACCACATGGCCGTACAGGTACGTCAGGCAGGAGGCTGACGTCAGGAGGATTCTGTACGGTGGCATTTTTAAAAATCCATCAGGGCCTTATACCTCCAAGCTAATAGCATCTCAGGAATCCCGCATTACACACCACTGAAACGTGAAACCCTTTTTTTGTTGGTCAAGCAAGGACCCTTCCTTGACCGAATTGACCGGATTTTAAAATTTTAAATTTCAAAACCCTGTCAAAACCCGAGTTTTCCACCTTGGCCCTACGCTTTCCTGTTCCGTACCACGCACGGACAGACAGACAGACACACAACCCGAGCGCATGCACACACGTATGTATTACTTCCCCCTTTCCCCCCTCCCGCCTGCCCCCTGTTCATCTGGACTTTATAAGGCCCTGGTGGATCTTGACGCGCGAGTGAGCAACCCCGACTGGTACGACGCCTTATGCGACCAGGTGGGACCTTTCCATGGATGAGGGGGAGGGGGAGGGAGAGGATGAGATGTCGGCGGGTCGCGTCAAAAGGGGGTTTGTGCATGTATGTATGTATGTAGGTAGGTAGGAAGGAAGGTAGGTAGGTAGGTAAGTAGGTAAGTATGAATAGAATATTTAAAGTAGAAGTATAAAAGAATAGATACCTCTCAACAACGTCGTCAGTTAATTCCGTTACGTCGGTTAACTCAGGTCCCATGGGTCGACGGGTCCCGATTACGTGTCTCTCCGCACTCGTTTTCCTTTTAGCCTCCCATTATTAAACTTAGATTCATGTCGTACACATCCCCGCCCATCCTTCTATAGGTCGCCTCCTTCCTACCGCTGCTATCGGCGCAAGGCCTGGTTGATCTTGTAGCTTCATTAGGCACCCTGGGACACACACCGAGACCAGAGTGGCTGGAGCGCTGCAGTTCCGCTGCAGTACGAGCACATGCACAGGTACGACAACAGCAGCAGCGACAGCAGGAGGCGCAGGCGGCGGCCCCCGCTCTACGCTTTGATGGCGGAGGTGGAGGCGGCGGCGGCGGCAGAGCCGGTGCTGATGCTGGTGGAGGTGGATGTTTAAGTGTACAGCAAGTGGAAGCCTTGGTGTTCGGATTCGCGAAGCTGGGGACGGAACCTCCGATGCCGCTGTTGCGGGTAGGGCTGGCTTTTTGTTTTTTTCATTTGTAAAGGATCTTGGGTTGGCTGTCTGTCTGCCTGTCTGTCTGTCTGCCTGTCTGCCTGCCTGTCTGTCTGCCTGTCTGCCTGTCTGTCTGTCTGTCTGCCTGTCGGCCGTCTTTTCCTGGCGACGAGGTGGGCCTGTGCGCGTGCCTGTCCAAAGAAAAGTCCATTTCGTGCGACCATGTGGCTTCTCGAACACATCCTGGCAGGGTCGTTTTTCCATTTTTGGGGCCTTTTATCGCCATTCACCATGCCGAAATTTTCCAGACAAACGCACAGACAGACTGACACACGTGTACACAATGCAATATGCCCCTTGTTGCTGCAGGCCTTTTTCGCCGCCACCGCCGCCAATCTCACCGTGATGTCGCCGGATCGAGTCACGGCCCTTGCATCGGCGTTAGCAGGTGCCAAAGTGGCTCCGGAACCAGCCTGGCTCGACAGCCTCACGACTGCCGTACGCAATGACGTCATGTCGTATACACTCGTGCAGCTGGATGCACTCACACGCGCACTGGCTGTGTTCCAGGGACTGGTCCCCGAGCACGGCGGTACGAAAGATCTGTTGGCTTTTTTGCGGGAGTTTTGTTTGTACGGCTAACGAACTCGTGCAACTTTTTTGTATGGGTGATCTTTCCTTTTCATTTTGTTATGGACGATGGAAAGTGTTGTTGTAATGCACTTGACGTCGAGTCTTCTATGTTTGCGATGATGATTCGCAAGTTCGGTCATGTACACGTTACGCATCGTATCAGAGTAATCTTTTTACTGTTTGGTGATTGTGACAGTTATATGGGTGTTACAGCTTTTGTAGGTGGAGATGTTCACCAAGCAGGATACGTTGTGATGGGGCGATGGGGCGAGGTATTTCATTTCCATGCATGCCAAGTTGCATCTTCAATTCTTCGATAGGTACAGGGGATAGGAAAAGAGATAAAGAAAACAGAGAGAGAGAGGGATGGGGATGGGAAGGAAATGTTTGTCTAGTTCGCCTGTTGATGTAGTTCTTTAGTGAAGGAGGTGTGTGGATGCGTGCAAATATCCTCTATCACGGTGAATGTAAGAAAAACGAAGAGGTGTATATATATACGTAGGTATGTATGTATATACGTATGTGTACATGAGAGCAAGAGGGGTTTGGGGGCGCAGGGGTATGTGGTTTGGGTTGAGCAGGCGGGGCTAGTCTTCGTACGACGTATGATACGACATGCCATTTGCTCTGTTTCCAAAGTAAGCAACGGATGGACACACACGCAGTCCTCGCGCGCGCAATGATCCCTGTTCGATATGCGGCGGCGGCAGCGGCGGCGGCGGCGGCTTACAAAGCTGTATCAACAAGCGGGGCATGGAACTACGGCAACAACCCACTCCATGCGCACGAAGCATATCGCCCTTTTCTCCTCCAGACAAAGAGTAGCCCCTCCTCCTCTCCATCCTCCTCCTCCACCTCTCCTCCTTCTTCGGGTCCAAGAGCACCCAGAGGCGCGGGGAGTAAAACTGTGTAATAATGGCATACCAGATGGGCAACACACAGCAACGAATAAAAATTCACACACCGCGCCGCCCAGCTGTAGCTAGCTTAGCACCTCTCTCCCAACACCTCCATCGCCCTCGTCGCCGCCGCCACCATCAGCATTACCCGCACCCACTGGTAACCCCCCCATTGCCCTCATACACAGCGGGGGGGGGGGTGAAACCACGAAACACAGCAGCCGCAAGCAGGGGAGAGGAGTGGGAGCACCAGCTGCCCCGACACCGGTCGTGACCTCGTCATGACGGTATGTAAATCCCCGTGTAACAGGATATCCGAAATTTAGTCAATAATACAAACATCCACAAGCGCTAACAGCAGCGGCAGCAGCAGCGGAAAAAAGTACGGCGCGGTACGGTAAGGCACAGTATGGCAACACGGACTTTCCGCTAAAACTACCAAAACCTTTCCTTTTCCCCCTTCCGCACCCCTTCCTCAGCAAGAAAATGACATGCATGCGGAGAAAGTGCGCGCAGAGATTTGGATTCCAAATCCAGACGCCCAGAATCTCAGTCCTCGCCGAGGCCGTTCCCCGCAGGAGAAGTATCCAGATCTGGATCTGATCATCCCCTCCTCCTCGGCCATTGTTGCTTAATGAGGCACCTTGACCCCGTCCACGGAAAAGAGAAACTTACAGACGCGTCGGTGTCCAGATCAGGCGCCTCCTAAGTAGTCACCAAGGAAAAACAAAAGGCCCGCGGCCCCCCCTCTTAGAGCTGGTTCAAGTCATCACATCACCGGAATATAATAATAATTAACAGATCTGGACATCCAAAAACCAGATAGAGAGCCTAAACAGGAAAGCAGCGTACATCACCCCCATTAATAACGCATGCGCCCGAAGCCCCAAGCCCATTCTCGTCCTAACCACCCCAACTACCCAGCAACAAAGGCGGAAGATGCGCAGAAAAGCACACAACGCCGAAAGCAACACAAGCTCTCATGACCACTTTTGCCAAATTAAGCAACCGCCCCCAGAGGACCAGAAAATGCCAGACGCGAAACATAACACGGCACGGCCACGGAGAGGACGCGCATTGATATAAAAAACGTAAAGTACATATTGTACGGCATCAGCAAAAAGTGTGCGTTTGTACGACGGTAAAGCTGCGGTACACTCCTGACTTGCGGCCACCAGAGGTGTACCCTAGGCCTCCCCTATCCACATGGTTGCTATCTTTTCTTCCCACACCATGAAAAACGCAGCTGACGGGAAGGGCAAATAACTTTTTTCTCTACCCACAACAAATAGAGAAAACAGCATTAATAAGCTGCCCGGAGACCTCTTTTTCAACAGTCATCTGCATGCCGCAGCTTCTGACGCTTGATTCGATCCACCTCCTCTTCATCGCCCACCTCATCCTCCGAAACCAATTGCTGTTGCTGCAGCTGCGCTCGCGCTTGTTGTTGTTTTTGTTCTTCTTCACTATCACCATCTAGTAGACGCTGTTTCTGCTGCTGCCCCTGCTGTCGCCCCTCCAGCGGTAGAAGTGCGTGGTGTGCCGCTGCTAGAGATCCGCCGTCTCCTGCCGCTACTGCCAACCCACCGGCCGCAGTAGCAGCAGCAGCAGCAATACCACCACTGGACGCGTCCAGATCGGATACGTTCAACGACAAATCGCCGGGTACCCCCATGAGCCCTTGCTGTTCGAGGCCGGCGCTGTCCAAATCCGGAAAGTCCGGGAAGTCCAAATCAGGCAACCCCCCAAGACCGCCCCCTCCCGCTCCTTCTCCTCCACCTTCACCACCACCGCCTTCTTCCCGTGCCCCTTCCTCTTCTTCTTCTTCTTCAGCCAAGCAATTCCTCAAGCCAATCCCCAGCCTACGGGCGTCCCCAGGTATCTGACGCGCTTGGTGGTGGTGCTGCTGTTGTTGCTGCTGACCTTGCTGCTGCTGGTGCTGCTCATGTATGAGCTCTACATCCGCGTCAAGATCCCCACAGGCAAAATCGTCAAGATCGGAAGAGGTTTGGGAAACCTGACGCAGCCGCTGTTGCTGTTGCTGCTGCCCGCCAAAGCAAGAGAGCCGCTGCGGCTGTAGCACCGGGTCATGAGCCGCTGTCGGTATCGACGCCGGTGCCGCAGAGGGGACGACGCCGGAAACCGCCTCCATGCGTTGACCGAGTTGTTGGAGCTGTAGTGCGCTACTAACTCCCCCACCGGTCATGCGGCTGCTGAGACCACATCCCGCGCCTAGATCGCCGCCGCCGCCGCCGCTACTGCCGCCCGCCATTGACGACAGGGGCTGCGGCTGCATTGCATGTTGCTGCTGCTGTTGTTGGTTGTTGTGGTGCTTTTGTCGTTGTTGCTGTTGCTGTTGTTCCTGGGATTGTTGTTGTGTTGGTTGTTTGTGATGCTGTTGAAGGTGGTTGTGGTGGTTATGCGGTTGCAGCAGCGCGTGTGATTGGTGGGCCGTCAGCGCAGCTGCCGTCGCCGCCACCGCTACTGCCGAGGAAGCAGAAGGCTGTAGCTGCAATTCGAGGTCGGCGACGTTAGCAGACGTCGGCCTTAGCGACATTGCTGCGCCTCCGCCTCCAGTGGCCCCACCGCCGCCGCCGCCGCTGGCGTCACCGCCAACGCCAGTGCCGATCAGCGACGCCTGCCCGACGGCGCCCCCACCGACAAGATTCCCCCCATCTGCACGTAATACTGCCGCCCCATTGCTTTGCGAGCGGGTCGGATGTTGGTGCTGATGTGCTGAAGACGACGGCGGTGCCAGGCCCCCCGATGCTCGTCGCTGTACGGCAGCCGCCGCGGCGGCGGCGGCGCTGCCGCCACCGAGCTGCGGCGCAGTGCCCAACTCTGGAAGCTTGCCCGTAAGGCCCTCTTGCTCCATAAGGCTGGCGATGTAGCGGCCGTGTGCTTCAAGACTGAGCTGTAGCTGTCTTTGAGACTGGGCCAGCAAAAGGAAGCGAGGGTGAGGGTGAGGGAAACATACAGACATACAAACATACAGTTTACATCGCAGACGGGAAATTGATTGCAGAATGATTTACAAGTATTTACCCGCGATCATTAGGCAGATCGGAGAATTTGAGCAAAGATTTGAGAACGACTTGACAACACACGAAAAGAACCAGATAGATAGAATCAGCGCGGTGTGTTATCACACACAATAGCGCAACGAGGCCAAATCAAACCACTTGCCAAAACGCCCTGACAGCTGAAAACACCCCAACCCATACCAGCACCGGCGCAATCAGGGACAATAATCCAAGCCACACACAACCAAAGACCTACCTCTAGCTGCTCGTGGAGCTTTTTCTGCAGCTCCATCTGGAAGAGCAGCGCCTCCTCGAGGTGACGTCGGGTGTTGGAAGGAGCGCTGCCGCTACTGCCGGACGTACCGCCTGCGGCGGCGGGGCCGCCGCCGCCAACCCGCCGCGCCGAAGATCGACCATGAGCGCTGATCGACACCGTCGGCTCCGCCGGTGCTGCGGCAGCCGCCGCCGCCGCGGCCGCGGCGGCCGCGGCGGCGCCTCCGACTCCGCCGCCACCCAGCGCCGACTGCGTCTCACCGCCGTACCCAGACGGATCCAGCGGCGCCGACGGTACAGCAGCGCCGCCTTCGCCGTCGGACGCATCTGTATCTGCGCTGTCGCCCTGCATCGCCTCGCCCGGTAGCCGGATATTCAGCCGGTACTTTTGCAGATGGCTCTTGATGTGATAGATCGTAAGGCCCTCTAGACACATGAGCTTCAGAATACCCTTGGGGGTAGCCCTATCAGGACCGCCGAGTTGGTTAACTGCCGCCACGAAACGGTTGTGCAGCTCCGGTGTCCAGCGGAGCCGGCTCTTTGGCGGTCCTGAGGCTACGGTACGGAGCAATCGGCCCGCGGGGGCAATCGGCAGGGTGCGCGATATTGATATAACACGACGCGAGAGCGCGGCGAGAGAGTGTCAGCATCGGCACCCACATCGGCAATACCAGGAAGGCGGTGGAAAACCTCAAGAACATGGAACAGAAAGGGAAACTAAATCCGTGCACAAATGTAAAAACCCTATGTGCAGCGTAACAAAGCTAGCAGCTAAAAAAACAATAAAGTAATTACGATAGAACTGCGAGCAGCATTCCAAGCACCCGTCGTGGCAGTAGCAGTAACATCAGCAGTAGCAGCAGCAGTTGGAAGTTGAGGTAGGGTCTGCGCTACCTGCGGCTCGCTGTGGCTGACCGGCCATGAAATGCCCAGGCATTAAGAATGGACTGCCGCCGCCAAGTCCACCTCCGAGGGGCGGCAAGTCAGGAAAAGCGGGCTGAGGAAGGCCGGCCAAGCAATTCTGCGGCTGCATGAGTGGGTGCGCCACACCACCCATGGGCAGCATAAAGTCAGAAGACTGCAGTAGAGCGGATGCACCATCTGTGGATGTGCGTTGAGGCTCTGGTAGCAGGCCACTTAACCCGGCTAGCGCGTTTGTTTTGCCGCCATAAGCGGCATCGAACTGGAGGCCAGGGAGGTATTCGTTCGGCGCTGTAGTATTGTTTAAATTAAACTGGCCCATTTGAAGGCTTCCGTGTTGGGGAAGCAACTCCGATAGCTGGGATGCGTTTAGATGTTGCTGGTGGTGCTGCTGCTGCGGCTGCATCGTGCCCGGGATTGGTCCCAGGAAGTCTGCCGCCGCTGGCTCCGGCCAGAATTCCAGAAGCCAGTCGTCCTCTGTACCAATCGCGGTGCTGGAAGCGCGCTCAGCCTTGTCCATGAGGAGGGCACCACGCCCTGTCTGCCAGACAGTGCAGAGCTCGTTGCTGGGCACACCAGCGCGCTCCCATCCGTCCCGGACACAAAAGGGCTTTTATTTGGTCACTATTCGTGTAGAATGCATTCGGTGATTGGCAACACTCGGGCCCGATTGAATTTTTTTAGCGTCAAAACAGGCTATGCAATGGCTTAGAATATTCCCCCAAGAAACCGTAACAGTTGAGTTTCTCCAGATACACGTCGGTGCCTTGTGCACGCAAGCGCAAACCCTCGGTGCACTGGCTGCATAGTGTACGGCAGATGCGAATAATCGGCCGAGTCCTAAGAGCATAGCATGATCAGCGTTCCTAATAACAGACCGCACACGACGAATGATTATCATTCTTTAAACTGCCTCCATGCTGAAGCAACAAACTATTGTCTACTATCCTGTAGCAAATGCTATTGCTTGCACCGGGACAATGCACAGCACGCCATGGATCTAATCAGACCTAAACTATGAATGACATTTACCGTGCGAGCATTCGATTTGGTAGTTGATTCTGGCATGCCGTGGCGAGCATCTTAGAGCTTTGGAGCGCGCTGGCCTTACACCGCACACAAATCTAGTTGGCAAAGTCATGTCCAGACTCCATCGAACTATGGCGGCGTTGCCACCAGAACACTATAACAACGATTTACTTGCTGCCGTAGTCGCAGAGCAGACGGCAACACCAACAGTAATTGCTGAGCTGTTGTTGCTTCCATTGGGATACTTCGTTTTATTATATATCAGGATTGTTAGGGGGAACAGCATCCCGTTGCACCTTATTCACGAAAGGCTTTTGCAACTGCTGTCAGGGCGCAACCAAACCCTACACCTGACCACGATCAACAGGAGCCCTATACAAGCGCTTACATAATGCCGTCTCCTATCCTGTGGATGTTGAAGTGGACGAATGACCTTTACTGATTGAGTGTGATCCAAAAAATATCCACTGCAAGGAAAAACCCAGACGTCCCCCGAACACCGCCGTTCGTACACCATCGGGTCCAGCAGGAATCTGCTGCTCCCTCCTTCACCCCTCACTGAAGGATCACACACACACACACACACACACACACACACACACACGCACACACACACACTCTCTACCTCCCTCCCTCCCTCTCTTCTCACCTTAACGCACGCCGCGAAAATGCCCGGCCGGCTTGAGGCATCAGAAAACGCGCCGTTCCACATCATGCGCCCTCTTGGCACAAAACACAAATCCGCCCGTGGTGGCCACTCCCCCCTTCCTCCGGGTGAAACCATCCCAACCCCACCCCAACAAAATTTCTACAAGTTCTACGAATGCTGCATGCAGCTCCGCAGTTGTACACATGGAAACACCTCACATGGAACTCATCCTAGTACAGGCCTAGTACACAATAGTGCAGTCGATGTATATGCGTCAGCCCATCTGTTGGCTTCCAACTGCATCCAGCGCCGCTGCCACAGCGGCAGCGATCGATTCCCGTGTGGCACCGGGTGCGGATGCTGCACTAGCTGCCGCAGAGGCGGCAGCGGCCTCTGTCGCCATCGATGGCGACGGCCCGGCATCTGCCCCACCCCCTGAAGATGTCCCGGCATCCTCCGCAGTGACATTATCTCCCGGAAAGTTGTTGATGTTGATAACAATGGTTGGTTGGGCATCACTGTTGCTATTGTCGCCGTAGTCGCCGCCGCCATTGCCGCTATCCCCACCTCCACCTCCGCCTCCGTTACCGCCTCCGCCTCCATTACCGCCGCCACTCCCGGACTGCGGGTTTCCTCTGGTTTTTGACGCCGTGATCGAGCGACCGTTGTTTTCGTTGTCGTACTGGAATGTTCGCGTCACCCCACCGCCGCCACCGTTAACACCACCGTTACCGCCATCGCCGCCGCCGCTGTTTTGGTCCTGCTCCTGGATCCTAACCTTGTAGTTAGGCCTGTTGAGGCTGTAGCTGCAGGTGATCTGTTCAGCAAAAAGGACGCAGTGGGTGTGGGTTGGGGGTAAAGCAAAGGTTGGGTAAAGCAAAGGCGCTTCCTCTTATCCCACAAGCTTTTCATTTTCATATCTCGTTAATTATATACACATAGCTAGACAGTGTTGCTTCGGCACCTAGTCCTACAGCTAGCCGAACTACTCACTCTGTCAGACCGGCAAACCAAGGGAAAAAGGGGGCTCAGGAGAGACCGCAAACCCGTCGCCACAGCTGTCGCATCCGCGGGCCAGTCTCCGTCGTCTTCTCCCCCGTGAATATGAGCTCCGAGACCGCTGCTGCTGCTGCTGCTGCCGCTGCAGTCTTTGTCATCAGAAGCAATAATACCGCCAGTACCTCTGTGTTTGGGAAGCCCCCAACGGTGCTTATGACCTTTCCCGTAGAGCTGACGGACAGCAGTAGCAGCAGTAACAGCAGTAGCAGCAGTAGCAGTAGCAGCATCAGGCGTAGCAGCAAAACGCCGGAAGCGCGCCATTGTCGGCCAAAGCTGTGCGCTCCAAGTCATTGTTCCTAACGCGGGAGTCACTCTGGCTCGTACACCTGATGATGCTGTGGCGACTGCGGTGCAGCGCCGCGCGTGCAGGTACGAATGTACACGTTGGCCCAGGTACGGATGTATTCGTTAGCACAGGTACGGATGTACACGTTTGCACATACACGGCCTCCGGTTCGCTGCGGCCCTGGCATACTGCATAAACTGGGGTGCGAATAGCCAACTACTCTTGACACATTGGGAGACGTACACATTGACGGATCCTTTCCATGATAAGGTGTGTGATCTGTGTCCACAATTTTAACTCCTAACCAAGAAGGACCATGTGTTGCCTGTTTTGGCTAGGCCGGGGTTTGCTTGTTCTTTATCTTTCCAAAGCTCTCCGTCACCTGCGGTATCATCGGCTGCTGCAATCCTTGGCGGTTCTACCGTCGCCGCCGCCGCCACCGCCATAAATGGCAACGCTGGCACGGATGTCAGCGTCGCCGCCGCCGCCAGCATTGCCGCGGTTACCGCCACTGCCGCAGCCCCTCCATGCCTCCGGGGCGTCCGCAGCCGCAACAGCAGCCGCTGCAGCACGTACCAAACGATACTGTTGCGATTGCGTCGGTTGCGGGACGCTGTACGGCAGCTGGCTGCTGTACTGTAACGGCCAACCGCGGAGCAACCGTCCGAGCAATATTTGTCGCTAGCGGAACTTCTGGAGTAGTGGCACCGCTGCCGCCGTACCATGAATGGCGATTGCAGCCTGCTGCTGCAAGCGGCGGGCGCGGCCGCCGTCGTCACCACCATTGCCGCTGGGACAGGATTTGAATTCTGACCCAGCGATTGTGGTTGATTACATCTAAGCATTAGTGTGGGCGCTGATGGTGGTCTTTGCGGTGATGTTGGTGTGGACGGTGATTGCGGTAATGGTGGCGATGGCGATGTTGGTGTGGACGGTGCTGGTGATGGCGATGGTGATGTTGGTGTTGATGGTGATGTTGGTGATGGCGATGGTGTTGCTGATGGTGATGGTGGTGTCTTTGAATGTGGCTGTTGGCCACAGAGAGATGCCGGCTGGAGTGCTCGAGCAATGACAGAGAGCATGGCTCAAAAAAGGAAAAGAAGGACAGCGAGCGAGAGCGTGAACAGGCGTCTACGAGGGATAGGGTACGTGGGCAGGCAAGTAGGTAGGTAGGTAGGTAAGTAGGTAGGTAGGTAGGTAGGTAAGTAGGTAGGTAAGTAGGTGTGGGTTTTCGATTTCCCTGACGCTGTCTGACATGTCCTTATGAAATGAAAGTGCGAGATGTAAAGTTAGGAGAAGTCACATTCCCAGCGTTTTCGAAGCGTGTAGTCCTGCCTGACACGTATTTGGCAATAGCAGAGACGTGCTGTTTGTTTGTAGGTACATTTTTTCTTTACGGAGATGAATAGGCCGTACAAAGCCATACAATACGGAAGGGAGTAAGTTCTTCTGTGACCATGTCTTCAATAATGGCGCCCTAATCGACGGCTCCATGCGGCCCTGTTGGTAGCGATCGGCTGCGTATGATGTGTGAAACAGGGGGGTGTATCTTCGCCCGTGGCAGCTACCTTGCGAAACCCTGCCTTCCCCGGTATTTCGGGGCACCCTCATCCAGTCACCCTAGTCAACTTCTCAGTGGATCGCTCAGGTTCCGCACCCACCACCAGCATCCAACGGAATCTGCCGGATCAACGGCGGCCCAACTCCATTCCTGGTCGGCTCGCAGGTTAACTTTATCCCAGGTCACCACCGTCCATCAACTAGGGGCGCAATGCCTTCCACCATCGGAAGGACCTTTGACCCCAACGGGTATCGATCCCGGGATCTCCCGGGGGCAATGGTCGCGCGTTACCAGTAGTGCCAAACCCTATATATGCGTATGTATGTCGGCTAGGATGGGACAGGAGCGGGATTTATAGGTTCTCACAGGCTCCTCATAGATAGAGCCTAGGACCAGATAGAACGCATAACTTGCATATCAATTCCTGTCGAGGAAGATATCAGCTCAGGGTGGATAACGAATTGAGAACTCAAAGAGCAAATTGCGGCTTCTGAACAGCAAGGAACAGCAGCAAATGCTGAAGGCCGTGCGAGTGCTACTCACGGTGACAGGCGAACGACCGGAAGCAACTGACCCGTGCCAAATTGATTATTTAATTTTGCTCAACGAAGCTGCTGAACATGTCGTGCATGTCGTACATGTCGTGCCGCGTCATCACATGCCGCTTCATCACCTGCCGCTTCATCACCTGGCCATGCGCATGCTCAGGTTCTTGTTCATGCTCACGTCGTCGTCTGGATGTTAACCATTGTTGCAACGTCTTTTTCACGGAGGGTGCGCCGCGGGAGAGGCGCAGAAGTTACCGAAGCAAGGCGCAACTAGTAGCCAAGCTAGATGCCAGCCCTCAAGGACCGCCACCGCAGCAGTGATAGCCGCAGTTGTAGCAGTAACGCAGCAGGGGCAACAGCACCGCGGATTGAAGCTGCGAGGAGGTCGTCTATGTATGTCGTTCCTCTCAAGGCGTCGCCCAGAGCTTGTTGGTACGTGGGTTTAAAATGTAAAAGTTAGTTAGTTAGTTGTCGGTACTATGTTTGATTACTAGGCAAGTGGCTCAAGCGGCGGCTGGAGGAGTTCGAGCGTTAACTTGGAAGGCGGAAAGGAGCAGTTAAGACGCACAGGCGGCGAAGACAGCACACGTCAGGAGGAGGGAAGCTATGCGACGACAAGGACGGCGAGCTGTCGGCTTGCTTTGCGCCTGGGATGGGTTGATTGCGACTGATGAGAGGCAGGTGTCCCGCTCGCTAATAAGGCACGCAGAAAGTCGGCTTGCAGGAGATCTGTGATGGATAGCTAGCAGCAGCTGACGAATTTAAGAGCTTTTCTTTAATATTAGCTTTTCACCTTACGCCCACGTCGGTGAAATCTTAATCCGTTTTCATCACTACTAGCTTTTCATTTTATACTTGATAGCTGGTAACAAATGCACTGAAGTCTTCTTCTTCATCATCATCATCGTCATCATCATCTTCCTCTTCTTTTTCTTCTGCAAGGTTCCTGTTCCTGTATTTATGTGTTGTCAGCAGGTGAATTCCTCAAAGTGATTAAAAGGCGGGCGCCTACCATGAAAGCGTGTCTGCGAATTCTCGCAACTTGCAGGGAATTTTGATCTCTCCATCCGCCATATATCTTCACAGGTCGTTATGCACGGTGCCTGGTGCATATTACTAGACGTTGACGCAGCGCGGTTAATTGTACTAAAGCTGCTGAGCAGAATTAAAATTAACCAAAGATTGCGGCAAGCAATTGTGACCAATTACGGGGTGGAAACCCCGTAATGTTCATTTTGTAATTCTGGAACTCTTCCTACGATAAAAGGTTACCTTGCCGAGGAAACGTGAAACCGATGTCGCTATTGGAACGGGCAGCCCGATGCTTCCGCTCACTTTCCCTGAACCGTACATTAAAGTCGCTTCCCAAGCTCAGGAAAAGTAGTGAGCCTAAATGAAATAAGCTGTTATTGCAATTGCAAGGCGGCAGCTACTAAAACGAGTGTCCGAACCTCGTCCTTTGCACTTTGCGAAAATTAGGAGTCCAATTTTGAAAATTAGGCGACGTACAAAGGAACAAATTGTCGTTGTTTTGTGCAGATCAGTGCCACAAGTCGCCATCGCAGAGGTGAAACGGAGTCGTGGCAGCATCCTAGCAACTATTGACTATCGATGTTAAACTATGACAGCACGCGGCCTAATATTTTCTATATTACTTCTGGGATGCTCCGCTTCAAGCGGCGCGACAGTAGCTACCGACAACAATGGCACTATCCGTGAAGTGTACAATGGTACGCAATCACTACACGAATTACAGTATAACGCCAATGGTCAATGTCCATCTGCTCCACCACACGTTGCGACACACACTGTATCGGGTCTCCATGACTGCGAGGCCCAGAAGCACTCGTATAGCTGATGAACCAAGGGACGTGTCTAAAGCGGAGATGGAGATGCTACGGTGTAAATAAAGCTATTTTCTCCTTACTTGGTTCGAGGCCGTCAATGACACCGGCCCTACTTCCCTTTTCCCATTCTCATCCCGGTGCGGTCACTCACACCGTGTACCCCTCTTCATTCGTTCGTTGCCATTCTCATCCCGGTACCACGCAGCCACGGTCATGTTCCGGATTCGTGCCGCCTACCATTCACCACCGCCGAAACGCCAACCTCCTTGGCTGGCGCCTCCCAAGCAGCCCCCTCCCAAGCGATCGCCACCGTCTCGCATCCAGCTCCATCCACCCCCTCCCAGTCGGAGCCCACCACCTAACCATAAGAACTCATCACCAACTCACTCACACAGTCCGCCGCCAAAGAAAACACCCACCCTCCGGCCACCATCTCCCCGACAACCACCCCCTCGGCGCTCGCCACTGCCATCACTACGCCAGCCTTCTCCTCGCCCTCCGTACCTTCGCCAGTCCCCCCCTGCCCGCCAACCCCGCCCGCCACCCCCACG